TATATATGAATGTCAATTGATTGCAAAAAAAAATGAAACACTTAATTTTGATTTATTTCTTAATTATAAACACTTTAGGCGCGAGACTTTGCTGATAAAATGTTGTGATCGAGCGAGAAAAAAAATATCATAAATAATGAGACGAATGGCACACGATGAGAGAAAAAGAAATATTCGCATAGAAATAACGGCTCTTTATGTGAACAACTTTCAATTTGAACAAGTTGAGCGCTTAACGCAAATAAAAATCATTCATAACACGACGATGAAACGTCGTCGACTGAACTAATAACTGTTGCAACCAGCCAACTGACTCGTTGTGCATGGGTATCATTTAAGTGTCGTTTACTGTGTAGCACTATAAACATTTTGTCGTGTGCACATTTGTGTGAGAGTGTGTCGGTTGTGCTTGTATTGGGAATTGTCGACAAAGTGTATCGCGTACCGTTTTGACTGAATATAAACACAACCGGCATATTCCATGAAAAGAACACACAACACACATAACGGATTGGATTATCGACAAACTTCCAGTTGAATAAAAAGCGGGGAATTTACCATTTCCTTACGACATACAGAGCATGAGTGCTTGTATGGGAAAGGGGATGTTACAATCAAAATAGCCGTCACTACGGCATGCGTTCGCAATATTTGAGCAAAATCGACATTTCATCGACAAAAATATTGGGCGGTCTCCTTTGTCACTGATAAAGAATGCCATCGCAGAAAAACGACAAACGAACAGAAAAAACAACACAACGACAACGATGACACTGCAAACAAATTATGTTCACTGGTGATGATGTCAAAATATACTATATGAAGTCATACACATAGACATGTGTCTCTGTGAAACACAAGCGATTTTTTATTTTTTACTCTCACATCAATTGAGTGGTATGAAAAGTTCAGCGAATCGGGCCACCTTTTTCATCTTTTCAAAACATAACTTAATGCAAACACTGCTGTATTGCATTTACAAATTTATTGACTTATTTTTGCTGAATTTCAATTTATTAATGGTTTTATTTTTGTGTCTAATTTTCTCATCTTCATTTCTTTAAATTTGATTATTTTTCTTCAAATAGTAATTGCGTCTGTTTAATCAAAACAAAAATCCATTTCAATCTTCTCCCGGGCCAACTGAGGCATGCTCAGATTCTTTACCACAAAATTAATTCACATTATATGCTCGGGTTCTATTCCCCCAGTTCACCCCAAGTTAATTTACATTTGCCTAGAAATTGTTGGTTTCGACATTGGTACAATTTCCATATTTATTGTTGGCTTCGAAATGGCTCTGCAACTGAATATTATTTCCTTTTTTAATCCATTTTTAACCAGATCATAACGCATCTGATCAATATCAATTTGATAAATTGCATATTTGATTACATCTAAATCTAAAATGAAATCGCATTATATCATGTAACGAAAGAAGACGTGGGAAGAAAACAAAAGAGATTCAAACATTGACAACGAGTGCTGGTTGAGATGTGTGGCTGGTTTGCTCTGCTCTTATTTTCATAATATTAATGGATCCTGATTTTTTTTTTCACTTTACTGTTTGCTTTGTGCAAAATTAGATCTGTTAAATGTACGAGCGTTTGATTCATTCTACTCGGCTTCCCTTCGAATTTTCGACGAGAGTGTGCACGGGTTTGCACACGACCTCAAAGTGAGAAATGGCTGTGTGAGTCTAAATGCATATACATTGATGAGATGTCGACGACGACGACAACAAGAGTGATTTTTGAAAGAGGGTGAATTTTGATGTTAAGTGCGGTCGAATATGTTCAAATCAACTCTCTTTTTATGTGATAATGTTTAAATTGACTGACGTCTACATATTTCAGCATAACACACCAATACAATGCATTTCGATTATGAACCTGGACACATAATCGCTGCTCAAACTCATAATTTTAGCTAATTCAAATCGACTTATTTTCATCGTACAGTATAAAAAAAGAGTCGCTATCGATAAATCTATATAAAGAAAAAAAAATCCATTTAAATCTTTCAATTAGCTGACTTTTTTTCGAATTCATTTGTATATTTAGAAGGGATTAGCCATTCCAATTTTGCATGTGACCTTGAATTAGTCTGAATAACGATGAGATCGAAAAACGACAATATTTCAATAGAATTTATTGCAAACACAAAAAATTTGAAATAATTTTTGCGAAGAAAAAAACACACAAACACGTATATTCTATCTATTGGTGTGGTTTTTAATTAGTTACAGTCTGAATATAGTATGTCGATGTCATCGAATGAGGGTTCATAAAACCCTTTTTTTATGATTTACTTTTTTTATGGTGCGTTCAACAACCATTATTCACTCGATCGTTACACTCATGTGCATATCATAAATGGTTCGTATATTTTATTGAAAAATGCGATTTTCGTGAAATTTAATTAAATTATTATCTTTACACTCACTGAAGTGCACTGCGCATTCGATGCAGTAGCAACAGCGACACGTTCCCTGGTTGTCGTTAACAAGAGTAACGACAGTGCATGGAAAAAGTTTTTGGCGATGCGCGTTATCTCTGGCCAAAAATCAATTTGCGATGCATCAATGCACTATGGTTTTAATGCGTGTTCATAACATAAATGAGAAGATTCGGAAAATTTTATTTAATGTGAATGCGCACGTGAACAAACTAACAGTTGAATAACTCTCGTTGTGGTTCATTTTTTTAAAAACTAAAATACTATATATTCGATTAACGTGACATCACATACATTTTTGACTTTGTCAACAGCCATCGCCGAGCAGCTTTCAAAATTCAGAAACTGAAAACCTTGTGAAAATCCATTTGATTTCTTGAGCATTATACGATTGTGAATTGCCATTAGTGTAGCAAACGCATTAAATGAGGCAATTTATAATGTATTTAGGTGGTAAGTGGTGGAAATTCAAGTTGGTGGCTAAAATCAATTTTCGAGTTTAGTATAAATTGTGGTTGGTGACACACAGAAAGATGCCGAATCTACTGCATCTAAACGATCAACGAATTTATACATAAACGAATACAAAAGGACTAGTTACATGTACACGTGTCAAGTTATTGAATCAAAATTTTTGGTCGTCGTGATAAGAACTAAAGTAACCAGACAAGTCTTGCATTTATGAGCGAACACATTGTCACGTGTCGAAGTGAAACCGTTTGTATCGAGAATTCAGTACAATGCAACCGAATCATTCCATTCAAATGCACCACTATCATTTTTTAGCTTTTCATAAATTACATTCTTAAATATCACTGTCACCGATTTTCATAATTCAAAATGTAGCCGAGTTCAATTTGGTCCATTTCAATTCGTTCGGTTCGGTACAATTCATTCTCATGCCATTTGGGATTGCATTTGATTTGATCTGACACTGAGCATGATCTATTGCACAACAACGTTTGCAGCATTGAAACATTCATTTCCTTTTTGGATCAATTCGATTTGCACAAACAAATATTCAGTAGACTTTTTATTCCCATTGGCTGGCCAATTCACTGCTGATGCTTTGAATACAAGAAAAAACGAAGAATATCGTTAATTAAACGTAAATATCGAATTACAAACACATTCAGAATGTGTCGTCAACTGGAAATCAATTTCAAATACACACCACCATATAGTTTGTTGTCAATTGTACTAAAAGGGTCACTGAACGCTCTAAAACACTTATTTCAAATTATTTATTATTTCACTGAAATATGATGAAATTGAATACATCCGAAAATTGACTACATGCATCGAAAGTGGCTTAAAAATAAAAAATGGTTTGTTTCCTGTGTGCATAATTTAAAAATTTAATTGAAAAAAAATTCTCAGCGACAGGCTTTGTTTACTGTGTGAATTGATGATGGTGAGCCGTTAGAAGATGAAAATCTGATAAGCAAATTAATTGTTGAGCGCATAAAACGGTGTCATACATCAGCCGAGAGTTAGAAATCGTATCCGTTTCCCATGCCCATTGGTATCGCAAGCCAATTGATCTCGACGACAACAACAGTCGTACATTCGATTGCATGGTGATTTTTGGGGCACATGAAAATCATTTGCGTAAATACAGACTGAAGTGTTACTTTTATTCCAAATGTAAACATAAATTTCGATCATTTAGACATGATTTCTGTTATATAGTTTATAACCCTAGCCAAACGTTGAATGTTAATCTCGTGCCATTTTCTACTGTAAATTTTCGATTGCATTCGGATATAATCTGGTCATCGAGCCACACAAACTGTACAAATAACAGATTTTCTGTTCGTATCCTTTTCAATGTTTGGTTTTCGTTTTCGTATTTCAAAATATTTTTGCTGTATTGGCATCAAGAGAGACAAGGACAGACAATAGAAGACCCGTTGGTATTCTTTGTGCAGTAGCAACCAGAATGTTTTGAAAAAAAAAAAATGGAGACAGGAAAATTTATTATATCATCAGCTTAACTTTGGTAAACAAAACCTTCCACTGTCTCAATTTACATATTTACTTTGATTACGACCGATGATTTTTTGCTCACCGAAAAATGTATCTTTCTCTTTTAACATAAAATATACAAATGATTGAATATTGCGTGCGTGTGATTCAATTGGCATCGCAAAATGTTGACAATCGAATACGTTTTGGGAAAAACAAACAGATTATGCATGCATGACAACGGATGAAAGAAACATGTAGCAGGGGCGTGCGAACAGCAAATCCATGCAATAACATTGACAATATGAAATCTATGCACAATGCAATGCTATGTGTCTGTGAAAATGAAATGTTTCAATTTGAATTTTAATCCTCATCAGAGAAAAATATATATAATCGACTATTTATTCAATCATTGTTTGTATTTGTGTGTCACTTACTACTGTAATACATTCAATATTCACCCGACAAATGGAAAATTAAATATTATATGACCTGATTAATATGATACTGTCAAAAATGAGATCGGCTTGGATTGACGTCACGTGATTTGTGCGGGGAAAAAATTGACTTACCTCATTTGCCATGTCATTGTGTACGGGTATTTCGATGACAGTTGTCTGTACGTTGTCATTTGTTGGAATCTGGATAGCAACCGGTGCTACTGGTGTGAAAATGTACAATGGCGTTTCGACATTTTGTGAAAAATTCTCCGTTTGACCGGCTGGCATTGTATGCATAATTTGTGCATAATGATCTGGTTGCATTAACGATATATTTCCACCTTGTATCGGCACTTGGAAGATGAACTCTTCATGTGCGATGCTTGTGTGCTCTATGGACTGAAATTGTATCGTTTTTGGAACTTGAAAAAAAATCTGTTGTGCTTCTTCTGCAATTTGCTGTGAAAGAAATGAATACAATTACGGCGTGCACGAAAATAAAACGTGAAAGACGTCCATCGGGAGCTGGCTGAATCTACATTACGACTTACAATCACTTTAGCATTTTGCAATGAATTTGGACTGCTGAAGTTATGCTGATAGCAATCGCGTCGAATTTTTGAAAGCACTTCGATGGTATATGGCATACGTAGCTCTTTGATCACTTTCAATAAATCGGTTTTGTAGTGCAACAGCAAACGTTTCACCACATGACTTTGTGTAATCTGAAACGGGAAAAAAAGACGCACATGTTGCATTCAATATGATGCCGTTTCGATTATGACATGTATGCCTTTTGTACGATGCAACGTGGTTTTGGCTCCCAAGAAACTAACCTGCAAAAAATCAATGATTGTACGTGATGTGTGGTATGGAAATGACTGCATTGGACAATCTCGCGATAGAATGTTTGTGATGAATAATGCCAAAGATGATGATGTTAATGGCACAATGAATTCCGTGTACGGATCCGATACAAACACAAAGTATCGAATATATGCCTTTTGAAAGCGCAAAATATTGTCGAAATGTAAATTTCCATTGCCAAATTGAAGTGGATCGGTGCCTGACGAAAATCGTTGCGAATTTAGAATGCACTCTTCTTTGAATTGTGTTCTAGCACCCAAATATGCCACCTGATCGACGCGAATCAGTAGCTCATATAGCAATTGCTTCAATTCTTCACGTGAACACATTTTCCTTTCACCTTTGATCGATCACTCAATGAAAATCTGATATATTGGAACTCGATATAAATTCAATTTCAATGCACTTTTTAGCACTATATCACCAATAATACACCGAGTTCAATTTCTGACCAATAAAATAATGCACAAAAGTCAGATGGACTGAAACTCGTGTCGTGGAATGAATGCAATTCTTCTTATTTTAGCGCACGATTAACGGCAAATGAATTATATCTTTTGTCTACAAATTTCATCGGTTGGTGAGTGTGTTGTTGTTATATCGATTTACTGTTTCACCACGCGCTCCCTTCGTATTATTTATGCGTGTGATTTTTTGTCTTTATCACACATTTACATTCCTTAGCAACTTGCCTCTTTTCTTTATATTCTAAATAGAATCGGTTAAGCGGACCTATTGCAAGCAATGCCATTGTATTGGTTCGTTCGAATATTGGTATGTGTACAAAATCACAGCCACTTTCAATATGGTGCGAGCATAATAAAAGCATTATTTAAGTGTCAAATTGAATATTTTTGTATCATACTTTTTATTTCAAAAGTTGGTAGTAACGCTTTTTTCTTAAATGTTGCGTGATGTTATGAAATTCCATGATTTTTTTTATTTTTTTCCATCACAATGAATGAACTCAAGTGCAATAAATGTTTGCAATATTTTTCATCGTTCGTATCTCTTGCATATGATATTTTCATTTTAGAAATATTTTCCAAATCGAGACTTGCTTCTGTGATTGTGAAATAAAATTCGCAATAAATGAAAAATTTCTTGAGGAAAGTATGTGGACATTCTTCAAGATTAAATATATCTATTTGAGAGAGAGAATACAATTTCAAGCACTTGAGTAGCCTTCGGCCAGATGCGTAACATGAATCTGCATTTGAATGAACCTTTGTCCGAATTATATTAACTTGATTGAATCTTACCTGTATCATTGTTGTGATGAAAAACGGTCGCTATGTACCACATTTTTGTCTTGACAACTCAATGAAATTTTAGTTATTTTGTTCGGCGTTCTTGAAAAGGACAAAGCATCAACATATGAATATGACATTTTTTGAAGTATTCATTTTTTTATATTTGGATGCAGAAAATCCTTTCTAAAGAAATAAACGTTTCCAAATAATTGAATCGACTTTAAGCGAGATACTTGAAATCATATGAACAGTGTGGGTCGATTGAAAAAGGGGGATGAAGTTGATATTTGGCAGTGTACTTGCTTACGGCGACAGGCAATGTGCATCGCAGAATGCGAGAGAGAACACAAAATTAGTCCCTACCACTGTCTAGTTAATTAAGTGCGGTACTGCAATGCAATCAACCTTTAATTTGAATGGGAAAAGATCTGTTTTAATAAAACCGAAAAAAATCGTTTGTGAAGGGTTGTTTCTTTTCCAATTACATTAATTTGCATAGTAAGAGCATAGCCAATCTGAATTAAATGTCAAACAAAAAACCCGTTCGAGTCTTTAACTTGAAAAATATAAAATTAATCGAAATAAAACAAAGAATAAACTTGTAAAGTTTGCCAATCGCACATTGGACTCTGCTTAGCAGAACACAAATCGGAGAATGGAAAAAAATTACTTTTATAAACGAACGACTAACGCGCATAGTAACTATGTATTTTTATTCGTCACATTTTATCAAACAAAATGACAAGAAAATAAGATACTTGTTTGCACTAAACGGGGTTAACGAATATTGATTGCTCATTAAATTCCACCTGGAAATAGTAAAAGAGCCAATAAATCTTGGTGGTAAAATCCTTTCCAACGAAAACTTTGACTTTTCCATTAAGGTCACACACAAAAGTCATTTGTTCGCATCCAATCTAGAGATTTATGTGGACATTGTTTTACAGTGTTCAATTACAAGTGTCGGTGGAAAAAGGTCACTCGAAGACGAGACATGAAAGAGAAAAACTTTCCATACCAATGAATTTGTCACGACGATGGAACATATTAAGGGTTAGGTCTCTCGGGTGTCGTTAAAATAAAAAGAGTTTTTTTACTTCAGATATTATATGCCAAATACATTGTTGGGCGAAAAAACATGCAATCACAATAGTTTGTGGTTGACTTCATTCAATGTTTATGTTTCACAATTCTGTATTTGTATACAATTACAATTAAATTTTAAAAAAAATACAATTTTGAAAATACAGATGAGCTGACGAATCAGTTTTTTTGCTGATGATGTGCTCTTCTATTTGTATATTAGTAAACTGAAATAAATGGATGTTTACAGATCCATTAAATGTTATCAAGACTGATTTTTATATATATTTCAAAGAAATTGGTCTAGTGAAGATAGTAGTTTAGTAAAAGCATTTTAATGTTTCCACTAATATGATATATGATTTAATTTAAACTTTCAGAATTGTGCTGACACTTTATTTTTCTTGGCGATGAACCAAATTGAATCGTTCTTATCAGTATCTTGTATTCGTACAACAATCAGTATTTTGTAGTTGTAACTAACTCGTAGATTCTTTTGGGGTAATAAAACCCTCCAATGGAGGGTACCATGTCATTTAAAGAGAGGAAATGAATTCATTGGATTACATTGGATATAAAGCTTCAAATATAAATAACACATGCCTTTTTTCAATCAAAATCTTTCAAGTAGGAAAATCGTACATTTGAATTTTTTGAAAACAGGCTTGGAAATTTGGAAGTGTTTTTTCGCTCGATTGTTATCGAAAAATAATTGATGAATCTATCATTTGAATCCTTTACTATTCAATCACACAATTTAAAAAAAACTACAAATGTTGTTGAATGAAATTCCATTTTTTAATATAATTATATGATCTTAATTCTATTTTTTCACTTCTATCTCAAATATTCAATAATTTTTTTTAACTTTGTTGATTTCTATAAAAACATCAAGCTTCAATATTATTCGTCCTGCAATGATTTTATAATAAAATACTCCATTACGAATTTATTTCTCTGTTTTATTAACTCTTTTTCTAATTTCATTTTCTAAATCACTAATTGGAATTTCAATTTCTTCGTGTGTAGCGAAAGTACGTAATTTAAAAACATTTCTTTGTAGTTCAGAGTCGCCAATGATAATTGCATAGGGAATTCCATGTTTTAAACTGTATTCAAGCTGTCGAACTAATTTTGGATTTTCTTTATATGAATGCTCTGAACGAATTCCAGCAGTCCACAGTCTATTTACAATTTGTAATCGTTGTTCATGTAGACCTTTGTGAGCTGACATTACATAAACATCTGTACTGTTTGCTGGTTTAATTCCTTCTTTCGCAACTTTTGACTCAAGAACGGCGAAAATTCGTTCAACGCCTATTGAAACTCCAACACAAGGCTCTGAACGTCCTTTTGCATCAAATACACCCATCAAATCGTCATAACGTCCACCAGCTGCTATCGAACCTATTGACTGTTGAACATCCCCAACATTTTTATCTGTGAAATAGTGAGAAATTTTTCACATGAATATTGGTATATAGCATTGATATGTTGAAATGTACGGCTGGTAATAAAAGAGACTTTAAGCAGAAAAAATCTTAAAAGTGTCTCATAATTTGTATAGGATTTACATAAGATGGAGACGGTTTAAAAAAACTTAAAGTCAGTTTTATTCTCAGCCGATCAAATGTACCTTTAAGAACTGCCTCAAATATAGCTCCAGTGTAATAGTCTAAACCTCGTGCTAAGCTCAGATCAAAAACTACACTATTTTGTAAACCAAGAAGATTACAATACTTCAAAAGCAGCTTCAATTCCTTGAATTAATTGTGAAAAATAAGAAAAATTAAGTTTCAAAACACCGAGAGTCGAGCGCTATCCATATAAATACATTGTGACGTCACACATCTTACACAGAAACGACATCTTTGTAAAACAGACTAACTACAATGTAAAAGTATAGCGAGAGGGGAAGGGAGTAAATAAAAAGGGGAAACAGATACGTTTGATTTACATTGTAGTTAGTCGGTTATTAATAGATGGCGTTTATATAGTGTGCCCTTATTGCGCTTGACTCTCGCAAAACACAAATATGTAAATTAATCAAAACATACTTCAAGACCTTTGACACTTGCTGATGTTTTATTGAGAAACTCATCGGACAAGAGTCTATCTATCAATTCGACGTTTCCACATTGTTGTGTGTATTTTCCAATGTTGTCTGCAACACTCTCACTCAGGCCCTTTTCTTCGATCATTTCTTTTCGTACGTCAGCCCAGGACAACTATTTGAAAGAAAATATATCGATTTTATTTTACCAATCAGATGAAATTTGTAGAAAATTCATGTAGAAAGTGAGATTACCTTGTCTAATTTATCAATGGCAGAACATATTGACTTGAATTTATCTTCGGGCACTCCACATGCTTCAAACAATCCATTCAAGAGTAGCCGATGATTTACTTTAATTACGAATTCTCCAATATCCAAAGAGTTAAACACCTCTGACATAACTTTTATACATTCGACTTCGGGCAGCATCGCATCGTGGGGTCCAACAATATCAAAATCCTATAACGAAACATATGTAGTACACAATATGATGACAATCATGTGAGTTGTGAAAGTCCATTTTATTCTCGAACAACAAAGTATTTTGCTCACTTACGCATTGATAAAATTCCCTAAGTCGACCTTGTGCTTTTGACGGTGTATCTCGACGATAGACTTTTCCAATGTGATATCTCTTGATGCTGCTAATTTTATTCATAGCCAAATATCTTGCCAGTGGAACTGTCAAATCGTATCTTAACGATAGAATCTCGCCACCTTGATCTGCCAGATCGTAAATTAATTTTGTATCATCTCCATATTTGCCAGTCAACAGTTCTTTCAATTCAAATATTGGCGTGTCTATCGTTTGGGCGCCGTGTGTTTTAAAAATAGATTCAATTTTGCCGAATACTCTTTGCCGAAGTTCCATTTCTTGTGGACCGTGGTCACATGTTCCCTTTGCAGTTTTCACCATCAATTTCGATGACTTCTGTAAACGAAAAAAATTAAATTATTTCCAATCTGAACAGTGAATCAATAAAACACACTTGATTTGATGGCTTTTTCGGTGAAGGCACTCTCGAATCGGTTGAATAATGATAAAATACGTTCATTCCATTACAATTAACAATTCTCGATGAATTTCCTTCTTTCTGTATGTAAAAAACTCTTTGAGCTGACCTGAGAAATGCAGGCGCATTTCGGCCAAATAAGTGCCGACACAAATTCATTGCGATTCAACTGTATCGGCTATCAATTGTGTATCGCAGGAAAACAAATGACTTAACCTTACATTTTATTATTATGACAGTCTATGGTATACACTAAGAATTTGTTTTTTCTTTTACCAAAACGTCAAGTAAGGCGCAATATTCAAATTTTCTTTTTACCGAACGTCCTTTGACGTGACTTTGGCATGTATTATATTGGAGCGTATTAGAAAGCCTCTAGAAATTATATAGGTTGGTTTGAATTGGTTTTCAATTTTTTTATTAAATTTTTGTAAATGAAATGCATAACATTTTATCAGTATATGCCAATATAAAATTTATGTATTGTGCTGAACAGATCATGTTTTAGATTCAAATGCTTATTTAAAAAATAAATACAAATCAAATTGATTGCTATAGTTTGGTGAAAATGCGCAATTAAAATCGTATTCCGTTTTATTCATTTGGTGAATGAAATTTGAAAATTAGACCTCTTTTTCGATTAATCGCTTTCGAATTTCTTCGGCCAAACTGCAAAGTTGAACTTCTTCTTCTTTTCGTGAGAACACTTCTCGCAGTTTAACGACGCCGCGTTCAAGTTCTGTATCACCAAAAACAACCGCATATGGTATGCCGTACTCTTCGCAGTGTTGCAATTGAACCAATAACTTTGGATTCAATTTGTATGAGTGTTCAGCTCGAATGCCAGCATTCCACAGATCACCAGTAATTTTCAGCCGTTTTTCATATAATCCTTTGTGAACTGAGGCAACGTATACATCAACGTTCTTAGTGCGCATTTTAATTTTTTCTGCCGCATACTTTGCTTCTAGCACCGAAAAAATTCGCTCAATTCCAATGGACACACCAACGCATGGAATCGATTTGTTTCTTGGATCAAACATACCCACGAGATTATCGTAACGACCGCCTCCGGCAATCGATCCAACGCGCTCTTCGGCTGACCCAGCTTCGTTCGAATGATTGTTGACTGCTGGCGGTTCGGCTGGAATATAAACAATATGTATAATTAATAAATATGCACTACCAATTTCGTAGTTTACCTTTTAAAACGGCTTCATAAATAACACCAGTGTAATAATCAAGACCACGAGCCAAGCTCAGGTCAAACACAATTTCGTCTTTCAATCCAAGAATGTTACAATAGTTCAGTAGTAGTTTAGTGGCCTCTAGACCAGCAACAGCTGATGGTGCTTTGGTCAAATGCTCGTTTTGCAAGAGCTGGTCAACTAGTTCAACGTTGCCGCTCAGTTGGACGTATTCACCAATTTTGTCAGCAACCGTTTCATCCAAACCCTTTTCTTCGATCATTTCACGCCGCACTTCAGCCCATGGACTCTATGTACGAGAAAAAGGTAATGAGTGAAAACTCAATTTCACGGACGACATATTATGCCGTGAACTACGCTTACCTTGTCCAATTTATCAACTGTAGAGCAAATTGTTCGGAATTTGTCAGTTGGTACACCGCATGCCTCGAACATGCCATCCAATAGTTGTCTGTGATTCAGTTTAATCACAAAATCGCCAATATCCAAAGTGTTGAGAATCTCTGACACAACCTTGACACATTCGGCATCTGGTAACATTGGATCGTATGTGCCGGCAATGTCAAAATCCTGAAGAAAAAATTCAAAAAGAATTTCATATAACGCATTTGAGCCACACGGAGAATGGATGAATGAAATAATATCATTGATACTTACACATTGATAAAATTCCCGATAACGACCACGAGCAATTGATGGATTGTCTCGTCTATATACTTTCGCTATATGATATCGTTTGATGTTTGCAACCTTATTCATGGCCAAGTATCTAGCTAACGGTACAGTTAAATCGTATCTAAGTGCCAAAATTTCACCGCCTTGGTCCTTTAAATCGTAGATCAATTTCGAGTCTTCGCCATATTTGCCAGTCAATACATCTTTTAGTTCAAAAACCGGTGTGTCAATGGTTTCTGCGCCGTGCTTTTGGAAAACCCTGACAATTTTCTCGAGTACAGTTTGTCGCAGTGTCATTTGCTGTGGATTAAAATCGCGTGTACCTTTTGGTGTTTTAAGTGTGAATTTTTGCGGTCCGGGTGCAGGCGATTCATCTTGTAATTTGGCTTTCAAGGCTAGCAATTTGGAAACCTCCTCATCAATCTGAAAATTACGTTTAAATCGTTACTATCATCAATTAAAATCTATTACGAAATATTCATATAATAATTAGTAATACATAAATCTGTACAATCACTTAGTGTTTCATAAGGAGGTCATTTTTTAAATTGCCTTGAGCGTGATTTATTTCCTCCTTTTATTTTGATACGATGAGTGAAAGCACATAGTCTTTTGTCATAGCATGCGCTTAACTCACGAACGGTTTTACAATCATTCGCTCATTGACGGAATGCTTACTTGTCACTTTTGCACAATACTCTCTTGGAATGTGCTCATCGAAAAAAGTACTTTCTAAATAACAACAACAACAATATTGCGTGAAACAAATGGGCAAAATGTTCTAACCTCAATTGACAATTTAATTTCGATTCAATGTTTTCTTGAAATCAATAATTTCTGTGAAGAATGATTCATCTCAAAAAATCAATCAAAACATTTGGCCATGATTTGGGAGGAATTACCTTGTTTTTTGGTTCTTTGGCTGCTTTAAGTTTTCTAACAAGATCACCTTGCTGTTTGATTTGTTCCAACAATGTTTCGCTCATTATGTCAACACTGTCAATTTCACTAAATGCAAATAAATAAATAATACTCTCTTGGTCGATGTTTCAATAGTGTACTCGCCAAAACAACGTGGTGCACAGTTTAAGAAATAAAAAAAGAATGATGCAATTTTTACTCTAATTTATATGACGACGTCCAAGTAAATTTCAGAGTAGTTAGTACAAAGTCAGTTTGAGTATAACACGCGTTACACAGTCATACGAGATGGAATGTGAGTGTGTATGCGCGAGTGTTTGTATGTGTTGGTTTGCTGTGAAGTAGCGTGACATTTGTATTCCATGTATTTCTTTCTTCTATGAAATGATGCATACATTCGTGCCCAAGCTGTCAAACAAAGCATTTTGTTTGTGTTTTTTTGTGGTGGGGAGGCTATTGAAAGAGAGAAAGAAATGTTATGTGCAAATACATCTTATACACATTAAAATTTTACCATTTTCGTTTTTGCCAAAGTGATATTGTACAATCCAAAGATAATGTTCTTAGTAGTCGTTTTCCATTAGTTTTCTTTTATTAAAACTTGGTTTGAAATGTAAAATCCATTAAATCTACAACGTAATATCAATATATGAATGCAATTTATAATTAAAATCTATTCACTAACGCATGACAGAATGTATAAAAGGAGATTTTCTACTATTAATTGGCCCTTCGTTTTATCGTTATTTTTCCACGCGATAAATGGCTTGTTGGAATTTTCACTTTGTTGTTATCGTTTAATTTTTTCACCCAAACCTGTAACGAAAATAGAGAATAGTGTTTTTTTTAATTTAATCCCACACATACACACAGCGAAACGTATAAGTTCGATGGAGTTAAAAATAGATTTGGCATCGAAACAATACAAACGCACTCTTTAAAATAACACACTGAATGAGAGAGAGAGAGAGAGTGAATACTTACAACTTCATTGCCGATTGCTGAAATGGTAGCAGCAAATTTGGCTATATCTTTTCCTTCAATGTAAACTGGTTGCCCCCTATGATACCATCGTCGTTCGAACAATAATTTACCATCCTCAATTTTCGTTTCAATCAACGAATAATTTTCGGTGGGTGGTAATGAGCAACTGGCAATGCCCAGACTTGCATTCAACGCTGATAAACCATTACTATTTACGGATGGTGATCGAATTGGTGTTGTTGTCATTTGTTTGCCTCGACTTATTAATTTTAGGTCATTCTCAATCTCTTTATCGTCCAATAGTAATACGAGTTGGCTTACAGTTGGTTTTCGTCGCTTTTCCGCAACAGCTGGAATTGGATCGTTTGGTCGGCGTCGAAGTTTTCTCGTTACAGTTGGTTTTGTTTCAGTCGAATCACCGGTTAATTCCATTGAATGGCGCTCAGCTTCAATTTGCTTACGTTTATCTTCAAATTCGGCAATAAGATTCTCTTTGAGATCGGCACGTTTCTCGTCAAATTCTTTGAGTGCCGCTTTTTTCTCTGTTATAAAATCACGTTCAACACATTCAATCGAAAAATCACGATAAACTTCATTCAAACGTAAACGCTCTTTGTACTGACTTTCTAGCTTACGATAGCGTCGTATATATTCTGGATGGACATCATTCTTCAATTGCTCTAATTGTTTCTTTAAATTTGATAATTTATCTTGGTACATTCTATTTGGAGAAAAGAGATTTTTTTAAGGGATTTCCTTTTGCAAAACACACACACACGCACGCACTTGATGATACTTACAATTCTTTAATTTCAAGTGGTTCATTTGGATTTCTGCTCGTGTGACCGTATTCGGATTCACTAGCTTCCTCAGTATCTGTACAATGTATACACAAAAACAACAAAAGACCACTGGTTAAATCAATCTCTTAACGCACATAAAAATCAAATCACTGAACAATTGCTTACCTTCGCTATCGTCTACATCAAGATAATTTCCAAAATTTACTTCGTCGTCATAAAAATTCTCCGTATCGTCGTATTCATATTCATCAATCTGTTGATTGTGATTATATTGACTAATTCCAACGTAAGCCATTGTTTTCAGTAAAATTTCTCACTTAAAAATTTAATAAATACGGCGTCGTTTGCGAAATAAAAATCTGAAATCCATTTAATTTTCAATGGAACGTTGGTATTATTTCAAAGCAATTATTGAAAATGTTAAATAAATGCACAGTACACAAACTAGTTTCAAGCATTACTGAGGCAATCACTGGCGACAATTTATGTATAGTAAACTCTGTCAGATGTACAGTCGCCATCTTTCTCATTCAATCTATTCGTAGGCAATACTGACTCACGTACACAAAAACCAACACAACAAAATAAGACACTAACAACAAACGACAGCAGCTGTCAAGTCAACAATGTACAGTGTACAACTGAAACACGTATCTAACGCACACTATGAACCAACCATACTACCGTCGCCTGTCTTTTTCATTGTGCCTGTCACATTAAGCGCACAGTATATTTTTTCACTGATAACTAACGTAGTCTCTTCGACGCGTAAATAATAAACAAATAACAAAAAAAACCCAGTCACGTTTTTTTTTCTAACAACAAAGCCCTTGCTTGCGATTTTTTTATACAAATGGGACAAACTGCCGGAACACCATCGAATTCGGAATCAATAATCGAAGACACTGTCGATACGATTCATTACGAAATTCGCAAACATGCACAAAGTTTAAAAGAAATCAATTCGCTCACCTATGAAGAATTTAATAAATGCTTAAGTAACCTTAATGACTTGTAAGTTAGTGCACGCTTAATTATTGTTGTGGTTTGGTTTTGATAATATCATTTGTTTGTGATTTGACAGGTCTCGCAAATGCTTGGACACCAATGGCAAAGTGACAATCTTCGCTGTGAAAAAGGGTAGCGATCAATCATTTCTTTGGAAAGCCACCGTTCGTATTGCATGTGTTAAATGTGATCCAGAAACCAATCGCATCGAAAATTACAAGCTCATCAATTTAAAAGAGTTTTTGAAAGTATTCAACACATTTCAACGGCATCTTGATGCAATGAAAAATTGTGAAGAGCAACACGACAAGGTAGGGAGTATTGAGTCGTTTAGAAAAGCAATTCATTTGAATAAATTTCAATAAATATTTTTTGTCACAGGCACGTCGTCTCCCGAATTTTCTGGCCAATATGACTGAATTGACCCCTGACGAAGAATCTAGTTTTGAATGTTGCATTTGCTTAGATCGAAAGACCGATCTTATTCTGCCGTGTGAGCATGTGTTTTGTTCGACATGCATTGAACGATGGTAATTGCGAAGATGACATTTTATTAAAATTGAAAAATCAATTTAAAATGTTTGCTCTTTCAGGAATGAAAATCATGACAAATGTCCCCTTTGTCAAACGAAATTAACCGGCATGAATGATAGCTGGGTTTTATCCGAATTGCCGAAGACGAATGAAGTGAATGAAGAAATTCTCACCGAATTGAATGCACTTACAAATGGCACCAATGAATCCGATGCTCATCCAATTGATGACGATGATGATAGTGATGATTAAATCCGACCGTTTACACCCACTCCAAAATGTTGACTTAACTCGAATCAATACTAATCCAGTGTTTTATCTATGGATGTAATAAAATTCAATCAGCAATGGCGTAATCACTCTACTAACCTGATACCGAATTCTCCTTTCGCTTTTGTGTTACATGTTTAGCAAATTTTACATCAGTACATCAGTATAATATATTTTGAGTATATTTTTGTTTAAGTTTCATTCCTTCCGTCTTTTATGTGATTACATGTTTTAAAACATATGATATCCCTTAATTATATACTATTGCTAAGTGCTATTTGAATAAAATATGGTGAAAATAAATTCAGCCATTTATTTTTAACAATAACAAATGAGTTTTTAAAATGAATTTGCCATAGAGCTGTGGAAAATCTCCAATATAAAATTGCGATATTTAGTTTTAGGTACATAAAGGAAAAAGTTGAATTAGTTGCAAAAAATATTTATTCATGTAAAAATATGTGGTAGCATTTTTGCGAAATGTTATCATAAAATCAACATATTACAGATATTGTTTACCTTATGATCAAAGGTAAATGAAAATATAACTGGTTAAAACGGTTACACAGTGGTTCAGGGACGACGTCGCTTTTGTGCTTTTCTCTTTTTTTCTTCTTCTTCTTGGCGCATATCTTCCAAATCTTCCATTATGCCAATTTTTTTGCTAATAAATTCTTCGCGTTGTTGTTGTGCGAACGTTGATTCCATATTATCAACATCATCGTCTTCATCTCGATAACGTGATTTATCGTAGCCAAATATGTTTTTGATTGCACTCGAATAGTTGATCTCTTCATCATCATCGTCAATAAAATCATCCATTTCGGAATCGTATTCATCTTCGTCTTCACTGTCCTCCAGAATGCGACGTTTTGATGCGGCCGTTGGTTTTGATTTCTTATGATTGTGTTGCATATCACGTGGTGGAAACTCTCTTGATTTTAGCATATCTCTAGGTGGAAATTCTCGCGATTTAACCACATCCCGTGGTGGAAACTCTCTTGTTTTGATCACATCCCTTGGCGGAAATTCCCTTGGTTTGACATTTCGCGAGTCTATCGGTTTAGTCGGTTGTTTTAATGCTGTAGGTGTACCATTCGTTTGTATTTTGGATTTCATCTCAACCGAACGCTTTACATTTGATTGTGGTGTACTACTACTAGGTCTCATCGATTGAATTGGTTTTGATGCTGGTCGAATTGGTTCTTTCATGCTTGGTTTTCGGCTATCCGCTGAATGAGGCACTGATTTAGTGGAGGATGGTGTGTTTGAGGCATTCAATTTTGGTATTCTGCCGTTGGTCGGTTGTGCATCCGATTTGCTACGCTGTTCGCCATTGGTATGTGGTGTTTTATTTAATAATGCACTACGTCTCCGTTCTCTTTCTTCTAATTCTTTCTTCTTCTGTTCCATTTCACGTTTCTCTTTTCCCGTCAGAAGTCTTTCGGGTTCCTTTGTTTTCTGTGGCACTTCGATTTGGATGGGTTGGTGTTGTTTTGCTTCAGCCAACTTTAGAAGATTTTGAAAATCCATAACTGGTGGAGGAGGTCGTTTGTTTTTCATTTTCTGTCGTTTCTCATCTTCTACCTCTTTTCTCTTTCGTTCTTCAGCCTCACGTTCAGCCCTTGGATCGTATAAATTTTTACGACAACGTTGTTTTTGATCATTGATTGAACTGCTGTGATTATCGCCACTGGAAGTTGATGTGTGAGATCGTTTTCGGTGACCCGATCTCTCATCTTCTCTTTCACGCATAATTGCATCACGGACACGATTTTTCGTTGACATTAAATCCGCATTTTTACTGCCACTTAACGACGATTTGGAGAATTTTTTATCTTCGGGTAACGATTTGTATTTTTCCATTAAATTCTTATACAGAGCATCGCTAGCAATTGATGTGTACCCATAATCGTCTTCGTCCGGTTGTTCGGGACCTTGTAAAGTAACAGCTGTGTCTGTACTATTGACAGCATCCTCAAGTACAGATCGATTCGCTGATTTTGTGACTTTCAACATTTTTCGGATTTTATTTTTATCACGATCGCTGCGTAGTGCCATTAATTCTTCATATTCTTTTCTCTTTCGTTCCTGATCTTCACGTTTTTCTTCCTCTTTTTGTGCCAAAAACTTTTTAATGCCATCGGAGAGTTTTTTCTCTTTTGTCACCTTCTTCGGTGGCTCAAATTTGGTCGAGTAAAATTTACTCCGCTAAAAAATTAAAGCAAAAAAAAAATCACACACAATGACAATTGTTTTAATTAGAATTTTGAAGAGTTGGCACAAATTTCTTTTGTTTCTAACAATGAAAATAAACATTTTTCACTTACCTCAGACGAATGGTTGCTAGTTTTTGCATTTTTCTGGGCAACCGATAGCAATGAACCAAAATCCATGATGTATTTATAACGAATTTAGACTCACATTCAATGTGTCTCATGGAATTTTTGCATTTACAAATGGAAAATTACTCGATTGTTCGATTCAATATTACGAGACATACTAAATTTGACACGAATACGACTTAATGTACTGCCATCTTGAAATCTGAAAGAACACTGATAGTATGCCGTAGTTTGTCATATGTTTTTGTTCATTGAAAAATGTAAATAAAGAAATATGAGATAGAAGTCACATGAAGTTGGCCGCACATGTCAAATCGCGCACAACTATTTCAATTTTAAATTTTTATGTTGGATTTTTTTTTCTGGAAAAGATCTTTTTATAAGTCAAATGAGGGGTTTCGAAGAAAAATGTTACGTAGAAAAGTTCTGTGGAAAAATGTTCGGGAGCTAAATGATGTCATTTAGCAAAGCTAATATCAACTAAAGCTTTTTGGTATCAATTAGTTAGGCTATTTGGTACCAATTAGCTTTGCTAAATGATATCATTTAGCTCCGGAACATTTCTACGTAACATTTTCCCTCGGAACCCCTCAAATATAAGAAAATAAGTCAAATTAATTTTCATATACATATACTATTGCGATCAACATTTTTTAAACTAATTATTTTTTACAAAAATCATTTGCACCATAAAATGTTCAACATATGGACAATATTCAAATCTCTCACACAGGTTTTTTCATATATAGGTGTTTTTTTTAAATTTGCAATTTGAAGAATGACTGAAAAATAAACAATACACAGTAAACTGTATAGCTAGATTTTTTCTTGGATTTTTGAACAAAAAAATATGTAGTTTGGAAAAAAGCCGTATCGCTTTGTATTGATTCGGGACCGGAACTTTTACGCCAATTTTTCTGTACTTCTGGACGTCTCAAAAGTAAATGCTAGAATCTATTTTGGCTTTGAAACTATTCAATTAACTTGAAACAAAAATCATTCTTTTTAAATTTTATTTTTTTGATGTAAGAACGTTTGATGCGTTATCAATTACAAACGATTGTTCAGACTTTGATTTGCCCTCTGGTGTTTAGATGTCACATTATGCTCAAGTACTGCATTCAAAGAAACCATCATATGTCAAAACTTTTATCGGCATATTTTTACACGACAAAAGTAAAGTAATTTTTGCGATAAAAACTAACAATATTTTTATTTGATTGATAAAATGGGTGTTGAAGACGAAGTTTTGGATATTCAAAGGAAACTGGTGAAAATCAATTCGGCCAGTGGTTCGGTAAGTATATTTCGCATGTTTCATCAAATAAATGAGATAAATCACCCGCTTCGCCTATCTTGATGATACATTTTTTTGAAAAATGTGTATTATTTTTTAGGATCAAGCATTGGATCTTTTGAAGACGTTGAAAAGCCTAAAAATCGATTTGGACATATTGACCAAAACACACATTGGCAAAACGGTGAATGAATTACGGAAAACATGTGACAACGAAGAGGTGATTTCTCTAAGTAAGTCGTTGATCAAAAACTGGAAAAAATTTGTACCAGCCAGCAAGTCGAGTACTTCGTCGAATTCAAGTCAAAGTTCAAAGTCATCCGCAAAATCATCACCGTCGTCATCGTTGAATAACAGTTACAAAAAATCTGATTCACACAAGAACGATTCAAATGGTGGTTCGAGTAATGGTAATAAATCGTATTCATCAAGTACAACTACTGATGCCGTTCGCCTAAAATGCCGTGAGATGCTGGCCCAAGCTATAGCTGTGGATGGTGGTACACCCGAAGGTACTATTAACAGTATCCTCAAAAACGGATTATTCATATTATTTTTTCTTTCATGTGTTCTTTTGATCTGAAGGTTGTTCAAGTGCCGAAGAATTGGCCGAAGAATTGGAAGATTGTATTTATGCTGAGTTCAGAAATACCGACAATCGCTACAAAAATCGCATTCGATCTCGTATCTCCAATTTGAAAGATAGCAAAAATCCAACGCTACGTACAAACTATGTGTCCGGTAAGTTAACAACTTTCGAACCCAATTTCGGATTGAATAATTAAAATGTATCATTTTAGGTGCAATTACCGCTGCCGTACTGGCGAAAATGACACCCGAAGAAATGGCCAGCGATGAAATGAGGAAGATACGAGAAAAGTTTGTAAAGGAAGCAATTAACGATGCACAATTGGCCACAGCCGAAGGCACCAAAACGGATCTATTGAAGTGTGGCAAATGCAAGAAACGGAACTGTACGTACAATCAAATGCAAACGAGATCGGCTGATGAACCGATGACCACATTCGTGTTGTGCAATGAGTGCGGTAATAGATGGAAATTCTGCTAAGTGCGAAAACATCATTATTCAAAAATTAAAAATACAAAATCAACAAATTCTTTAATAATTTTCTTTCTGCCTTATTTTAAAAATCTCACATCTGTTGATTTGCGCATATGAGCGCATATTTATACCTTTTGTTAGAATTTTACGAATTATAACAAGCAAAAAGTCATTCACACCAAATAAAATTTATTTGATGTTCTCTCCTAAAAACAAACGTGTTTCATTTCTTTAGTTCTCTTTTTCCAGGTAGTAATGGATTTGAGGAAGTATATGATCTGAATTTGGAGTCTGGAAAGTCAAATGATTCGTATGAAGCCCACGAAAATAAGTTGTTCTGATAATGAAAGTACTGTATACTAGAATTTTGTACAATATAGAAACTCATTCTTTGTTTTGGGTCTTATTAAAGGATAGTGAATTTTGTAATATGAACATCACAATAATTTTTGGAAATATGTTGGTCACGTCACAATTAAAGTGAAGTAGAATTTGGGAGAGAACTATGAACAAATTGAAACAAAATTTAGAAAAAACGTGTAGAAATAGAATTGATCGCACTTTTATGCTCACTTCATGTTCCACACCAAAACCCATCTCATATCTCAACCATTTAATTAATTCTACCTCTTGATCTGTCAAAGAAAAATCTATTCAGTCGGTTTGTTTATTAAGACTGACAGTGTATGTTATATTTAATTTTTCAACTGAATCTGTAAAATACAGTAATTTCATATTATTTTTTCGGAAAAATCGATATAAATTTTGAAGTGAAACTCATTTTCATTTTCAATCTTTTTTCATTAGAAATTGATCTTTATTTTAACATTGTGTTAATCCAAATGGTATTCTGAAGTTTATTGGGGTCGTGAACCACGTCCGAATCCACCACGCTGTAAATACAAATAAAAAACAATGAACATTAGACAAAAATCACTCAATTCACTTTATACACAAAAAAGTTCATTTGAACTGTGACAAAACTTACGAATTCAACATCGCCAGCTCCAGCGCCGACGTCACCCTTCTTGTCAACACCATCAGTTGGTGCACGACGGTAAGCTGAACGATCAGCTCCTGTTTTGCTGTCACCAGTGCGTGGAACGGCACTTGGGCGAGCACGAGCGGCTTGTTCTGTACGGGCAGCACGTTTCAATGTTGATGGGACAATTTCCGATGGCAAATGCAAGTATGTGCGGAGGTATTCGATACCTTCATTTTCCAAATACCTAAAATTATTCACAAACAATTAATAAGCTACCATAATCAATGCGATTGTGTGAAATCGTATGCCAACTTACCAGTAGTAGTGTCTCCATGCGAATTGTGAACGTACTAATCCTTTTGATTGCAATGATTGCATGGTTTTGATGACATGCAAATTTGGAACGTCCAATTCTGGATGTTTTGGTGCGTTGAAGTCCTTCTTGGCAACCATAACTCCTTCCTTGAACAAATGTTCGTAGATTTGGACACGATGCGACTTTGGCATAAACATTCTGTAATTGAAAAGAAGCACACATTGATTAATACGGTGTCAAAAATTTTACGTGGGAAAAACGAAATTGTTTCAAAAATAACCGAAGACCACGCAAAACTACACAATTTCACACAACATTTTTCCAAAATATTTGTTTCAAAACTTATGAGGGCATGCCACATTTAAGACACAACAAGATCACATCTTAACCATAGTTATTTTGCCTCTTGAGAAGTTCACTACAACACCGACTGACAAAATTACTTTTTTTATGAAAAATGGTCGAAAACTATCACATTTTTATAATATATTTCGTTTTAATGAAAGTGCATGGTCTGTTTGTTATTTTAAAACAATTTTTGATCGATTTTATTACGTGATGATTGGGAATTTTTTTGATTTTTTAAGAGAAAAACCTACTTTGCGTTCTTTAATGTTTGACCACCGGAACAAAAAGAGACAGTTTAGTTGCCGTCAAATTCAAGATGAAGTATGAATTCGCCCATATGCAATGTGTCAAATGTCGCCGCAGCAACACACGCGCCATCTATCAGACATGTTTTAAAACGATGCCGCTTTGCTTGATTTAAACATATATTATTTTATCATGTCAACAAATGCATGCTTAGGACATTGCATTTTAAATACTTTCTATTTGATATCAATTTCAATATATTTTTGTTCTTTATATCATACAGGATCTACGCGCTTCTTCCAATCAAAATAAAGAATTGTACAAAATATTGTGCTTTCGATTTAGTGTTTTGATTTTCTTCGACATTACACAATGAATTCGAAATGTTTCTTTTTTTATTGAGTGTGTGAATTAATACCCGTCATGTGTCTATCAAATTCAGAGCAGAAAGATTTTTTTATATAAAGCCTTATCTTTGAATCGATTCAAAATGGATCGTGACAAGGATTTTAACAAAACTGCCGCTGAAGCAGATCGAATTCTTCGTGATACTTGTAAACAAGTTCCACCGAAACGAAGCTGTGAGTGGTTTAAAAGATTCAAAAGTGGTAATTACGACATGAAAAGAACGACCAGCCAAAAAAGTTCGAAGGTGCGGATTCGCAAGCTTTATTTGATGAAAACCCAGCCCAAACTAAAAAATAACTTGCAATGGAGTTAAATGTCGGCTGATCAACCATTTCTAGAAGTAAGAAAACAATATTTTTTTAAAAATTATACTCCAACATTATTCAAAACATCACTCATATGTTCAAATGTTCAATTCTTTGTCAAAAACCATATGTAATTAAAATATCCAAAAAAATTTAAAAACGCAAGGTTGGAAATTTCAAATTTTTATTTAAAAAAATATTTTTGCTTCAAAAAATTACAAAATAAATTTCAAAATTCCTTGCTCAGTTTCTTTTGTCTAGTAAAAATTAATTGTTTGCGTACAACAATTATAGTCAAATTCGATTTGATTATATTTAAAACAATATCTCATCACACAAATACCTTGTGTGTCAATTCAATAGCAATTATTTCTGAATCAGAGCACATCGTTTTTTGATGTTGTTTGTAATCGATATCTATCTTGAAGACTCTTCAGTTCAAAGTTCTCTCTATGAATCGTTATCAATTGGAATTGGACTTTTCATTCAAACAAATAAAATAACAGGTAGCTGAAGTGGTAGACATGCAATAAAATACGTGCTGAATGGAAGGATACACATTAGTATCAACAATACTTCCAGCCGATAACATCGGTCAGTTAGTACACGTAAACTTGGATCATTAAAGTTATTTGACTTTGGTCAATATTTTTGTAATTGATTTTTGATGATTATTTTACGGAATGAAAATGTTCAAAATAAAGTTGTGCATCATTGGCATCATCTTTGTGATGGGAATAGTAAAGTGTAATGGTGACAATGAAACACTTTCAAACGAAGCACCGGATGTGATTCTAAACTTCCCGAAATACCTGGAAATGGCTCTCAATTTAGAAATGGGTGTAAATGATCAAGAGCACATTTTTTCACAGAATGCGTATTTTAGAGGAAGCTTGCTTTGTTTTCGAGATTTCCTTCACATTTTTGCCGGATTGAAAAAGAAACAAATGTGGGCTATTCGAGGTATGAACACGTGTAATACTATAAACTCAAATAGAAATTCCTACAAATTTGTAAGATTTTGCATGATAATGCGTTAAACTTTCGATAGACTGTTATCGTTCGAATGTAATCGGACAACAAGAAGATAACATCGAACAAAGTGGTGAATACTTGAGTTAGATTTGTTTGAACAGTTTGGCGCTAATTTTATTTAAAATAAATTGAATGCAAGTTGCAATTTTGCTGTTTCTAGCTTTTTTTATTTTGATTCTTTCTTTAACAAGACGATTACAGAATTTACACATGTTGTGAAAGTAGATTTTCTCTTAAATTTTGATTTATAGAAAAAATACAGTTTTCTAAATGTGCTTTTTTAGAAATCTATTTTTGCTTCGTTACAATTCTATTGGTAGATTGATTACATCTCAATTTGATGCAAAGAAAAATGTGGTTACTGGCTTCGTGTTTATCTCTGATGAATATGTATTTATTTCGTTTCCAACTCTTATTTTGTGAGTGTGTGTGTGTATGATTGAGTGTTTCGATTTTGTATTCTCTCAACGTTTTTTTTGTGTGTGTATTTGTGTTTTGTTTTATGAGACGTAAGCCTATATATATATTTCCACAATGAAAATTTACTAAGACATACATAAAAAATAATGTTTCAAAAGATATTGGTTTAAAAGAATTTTAAAATACAATTAAAAAAAAGAAATGTCTGTTGCGTTTCTTGAGTGGTGCTCGCGGCCAAACAAACGCAACCTTAGTGCAAACCTTATCTTCAAAAAAAAAACTGAACTCTCTCCATGTTTCCAATCTTATTATTATAATTATTATTCTCATTCTTTTTATCTCTTGTCAGAAGAAAAAAAAAACTCGTGTTACCATTTATTCGTTAAGTGTGTGTGCTTATGTTTCCCTTTTTCTAGTTTTTTTTTTTTCAAAAGGAAAATTTATCATCGGAAACGACGTTGTCGTGCTGGTGTTCGTCATTCTCCGTGCGCTTCATCTTCTTCGGTGGTTAACCAAGTGGTGACCATTCGCTTGAACTCATTTTTACGCTTTTTGTTCATTTCGCGCAGCTCCTCTAAAATGTATTTGGCAAATGCAGCATCGGCATCAGTAACAGCCGTTTGTTGTTTGTAATAGTCAACAGCTGCTGTAATCGCTTCACTGATCTCCTGTTGATCGGTCGATACTTCGATGCGTGGTCGCTTTAGTTGAGCGGTAACAATCTGGTGCTGATTGGTGGTAATCAATCCATTACTATTGATGACTTGATGGTAAATCTTTTTCGGTGTTGCATTCACAGTGTGTGCACGGTGAATGGCGGTCGGTATTGGTGCCAATGTGGTCGATGTAGCCGGTGTCAATGTATGCGTTTGTGCATCATATGTTGCATTTTCGACTTCACATTGTTGCACAATGACCTCTTCACCTTCTTGTTGACATACCTGATTCAAGCTTATCTTTTCGTCCATACTCGTTTCGAGTTGATCTTGAAATTCAATTTTGAATTGTTGAATGTGCTGAGCGGCCGATAGATGTTGTTGACCATGCTGTGATTGATGCTGTGCTTGCGGTTGCGTTTGGATTTGCTGAGTTTGCTGTGGTTGTGGCGGAGGGTGCTGATGATTGGCTATGGCATTCGTATTGTTTGATATATCAAGTAAACATTGAGCATCTTCAGATACGTTCACACCTGATAGATATTCCAAGTTTATGTGCTCAATTGGTATCTGATTGGTGCTTACTTGCACATATTGCGGCTGCTGCGTTGCAGTTGTTGTACTTATCACCGTATTGGTGGTCGACCCAGAAGTCGTTTGACCCTGACTTGTACGGGCACTACATAACGAATGAAAAGCCATATAGATAAACACACAAAAATGTTTTATAATAATCATAATATTGCTGATAAATATTTAGTAATTGTTATCACACTCACTTTCGACTATTTACGTGCCCATCCAAAAACATTAAGCTATTATAGAACTCCCGTTGGCTTTCGTCTTCGTTGGCGTTTGCACCATTACCATGCCGACGTCTCTTCTTAACAAATTTGTCTCGAAGATTTCTCCATTTCTTCTTCGCTTTATTGGTGTCTATAAAAATTAACAAAACAGAAAATAAAATATTCGAAAACATTAGAAAAATGGCGGTCTTTTCATGTCATTCTCATGTCAACAAAACTCACCGTCCCAATTCATCTCCTTGCAAATGCTGTCCCATATTGTATTGCGTATATCTTGGCGCAAAAAATCCTTATGCTTCTTATTATATAATTGAGGATGTTTCTCAATTAACGAAATAAAGCGATACGTTTCACTTTCCATGGTTATGTTTTTTCACACAATCGCCTGAATAAAAATTTAATGCAAATATCCAAATTAATAAAACGAAAACCTGTCGAAAAAAGCAAAAACAACTCTACGTGTACGACATGTGGCATTAAAAAAAAAAAATACTATTTTGTTCATAAACTGTCTTGTTTCCACTTTCTCTCTAATAACTTTTTTTTCATTTCTTCATTTTCATAAATCCATAAAATATTTGGCAAAACATCAATTGATGCGCTGAATTTCTATGGGTTGCATGAATAAAAAAAAAACAAAACAAAACTAAACTTCTCGTCTTATTGATTAGCTTATTGACTATTAGCAAAAACAGTATGTCGTACAGTGGTACTACGGCTATCGATGCTTACACTCTACAAATATGATTCCACTCGAAATGTACCGCACAATAAAAAAAATTTTGTTTTTCGGTAGTTCGTCGTCCCTAAATTATCCACCACAAAACTTCACGTGAACGAATGAAAAAAACTCAATCAAAACAATCGCAAATGTTCAATTTGCCGAATGATGCGGCCAAAATAGAAAAAAAACACACACGGATTTCTCAGTTTGCCGTGTGAATTATCTGAATGAAATCGAAAGCCCGCAAAACGCAAACACTTTGCGCTTCTTTAATACACATACGCTATTGAAAATCAACGCCGATTTCAGAAAATCCTCACGCACGGTCATAAATACATGAAAAATAATGTAAATTCATTTACATTATCGAAATGTACACAATTTTTCCACTAAAATTCATTAACAACGTTGATTACTTTTCACAAAATAGATGAAGCGTACATTCGTTTCATCAATGTAAAATGAATACCCAGCTCCGTATAAAATAAATAAAATGTCAGAAACGCACGTTCGCATTGCGGTGGTTTTATGTATACGCTAGCATTTTTTTTTCACTGTAGTTCGCAAGCGTTTTACTCATAATGGTGGCGCAAGCAGTCAATTCTATTCGTTTGAATCGATTTTCCGTTGTTTGTGTGTGTTTAATACACACGCTCTTTTCACAAATTTCATGTAATATTTTTCAATTTTTCAATGGATTCATGCAATTTGATTAAAAATTTCAATAATTTTTATGATTTTTTAAATATTTACCTTAAATATTACCGAGATATTCGAAAATATCGAACAAATTATTTGGTGGGAAAATGAACGTCACTTACAATACATATAAGCACCCGTATCTACTCGTATCACTTGGCAATGTTGACCAAGCGGTGCATAGTAGCGACACCATACGACCATTTTTCAAATGGATCTAGTACAACAATTCAATGGTATTCTCACTCGTTTTTGTATTTTGAATATAAACGCGCAAAATGTATACATTCCGTATAAATACATGTTCTAGAATAATTTACTTTTTTGTCGGTTTTTTTTTTGATTTTCTGTTGTATTTTCTCGTTTTCGAAATTAATTTTTCTCTTTTTTAAACTTATGTTTCGGTTCTTTTCATTCATTCTTAATGCTCCAGTAAAACATTTCCAAATAAAAAATAAGTTCGGTTTCCTCATTTCTCACATGTTTAGGCTTTTTATTATTCAAACGAACCGCATACTTTAATTTATGGTGTCATGTTTGGATGCTTAATCCGCATTAAAATTTACACAAATTTCCATACAAAAAAGCTGTCGGCACAAATTGGCAATCAGAAATGAAAACAACAATGTGAAGAAGAAAATGATTCACACATAAATGAAGTCATTGGCTACTCATATTAAAATACACGTATCTTTAATTTATTTCAGTATTTGATTCGTGGGGGAAATTTCCATCAGGTATTTACGACATTTTTTTTTGCTGCACTCGGCCCAATTTCGACCAAATCAATCTTCAATCCAAATTAATGTTATCTGATTTTGGCAGGCATCCTATCTGGTAATATGTATGACCTTGGTGATTTTGATGAATGCTTAAATATTGATGAACCAGATCAATTTATTCCACGATATTGGTATGACTTAATATTGTAAATGACTTAAGTGTCTAAATAAGATAAAATGAATGTGATTTTGTGATTTCAGTTTGGCACGTTTATCGAGAGAAGAGCTTGTGATGCCAAGCGAATTAATTCACCATAATTTTAAATCACTTACAGATTTTGCAAAACTGAAACGACCACAGCCAAGAATTGTACCGACAAAATCGTAAGCAAAAAGTCTTTCGATCTTTCGAACGGTTATTTTCTTTGAGAACAAACATCCATATACTTTTTTTTAGGAATATGCTTGGATTGAGCTTTGGCATTTGCGTGCCAAAATCATGTTCAAAAGAAAATATGGAACATTTATTTGCCACAATTCAAAAGAAAATTTTAAAGGATAAAGCACTTTTAACAATAGTTCCGAATACTTGTCAAGTCAACGAAGATCGAAATTGGAATTTAAATGTAGCCGACTCAGCCGTATTGTAAGCACATTTTTTATTCAAATTCAAAATGAAAAATACAAACTTTTTAAATTTATACTTTGAAGAGCATTCATTGCGTTCATGGCGTTCATTATGATTTCATCGACCATATACGACATATATCAAACTCGAAGAGATAGTAAGATTTGCCACTTTTTTAGCAATTTCATTTGAAAAATACTCAACATTCAAATTTTTTCAGGGGAAAAAGACTGCATTTTCATTGCATTCTCAATGTATACAAACGGCCGAAAATTGTTTGCATGCAAAACATCAAGCTGCGAACATTCAATAGAATGTTTGACGGGAATTCGAGTACTTTCAGCATTATGGGTTATTTATGCACATGCCAATGTAATGACAATGCTCGCTCCAGTTGTTAATTTTGCATACATTCCAGAGGTAACCAGTTTCTCCTTGACAAACATGAAATTATTTACTTGCTGAAAATAATGATTTTTGTCGCATTTTTGGATAAATGTTTTCAGTACGTATCAAAATACTCTACAATTGTTCTTTTGCTCGCGCCATTTTCGGTGGATAGCTTTCTCTTTCTTAGCGGCCTCTTGATTACATGGTCAATGCTCAAACATTTAAATAAAACGTAATTTGATGCTTGACAACAGTAAAAAAAATCCAATTTAATCAAATTGAAATGTCATTAATCTTAATCAGGAATGGCAAAGCTAATTATGTTATGATATATGTTCATCGATACCTGCGCCTTACACCCATTATGGGAATTGTTATTTTGATCAGTTTAACTCTTTTCAAAAAGGTAATAGGCCAATCAGTCAATCGGTTTTTTACACATGAATTAAAATGTTTTTTTCTAATATCAAATTTCAAGATCGGCTCTGGTCCACTTTGGTATTCGTACATTTTACATGCGATTAACTGTGACAAATATTGGTGGTCGTCACTTTTGTATATTCAAAACTACTACAATGCGGATGCTATCGTGAGTTTTTTTTATCGAAAATAGATCATTTATGATCAAAATAAAATTTCACGGACATTTATCTCTTCGTTATTTAGTGCTTATCACACACATGGTATTTATCGGTTGATATGCAATTGTTTTTGTTTGCACCGTTGATTGGATATTTATTGTATCGTGGTGGATACATTGCCGTTGCATTAATTGCAGCATTAGTTGGAATTTGTGTTGGATGGACCTTCTGGCTTTACAAGGCATTTGAACTTATTAATCAAGTGTTGAATATTACGTAAGGCGAAAAACTACATACATTTTTTTTTTCATTTTTTATGTAATTTTGTATTTGAAAATGTTGTAGAAATGATATTCAAGAAACATTCATGTTAACCTACTATCCAACACATGTACGAATGTCTCCTTGGTTGATCGGTACCGTGTTCGCTTATTTACTGTTCAAAATGAATGGAAGGAGACAGAAATGGCATATTGTATGTTTGAATTTACGATAGAATCGAACATGAAATGTATTGCGTTTTTTTGATAACTCTAGGTTCGCGTCATCGTTCATTGGGTATTAACGGCCGCTATTTTTGGTGTTCTCGCATATTTTTCATATGAATTACAACAAATGGATCATAAAGCCAATTCAACTGAGTCAGGCATTTATACGGCTTCAAGTCGAGTTGGATGGAGCATATTTTTATGCATGGTGGTTTATGCCTGTGTTTGTGGATATGGGGGACCAATCAATTGGTTTTTGTCACTTCCAATGTGGCAACCTTTCGCTCGTTTATCCTACGCCATTTACTTACTTCATATGCCTATCATGTTGGCAACAGCAGCATCTACACACACGCCATTATATTTTTCTGGACGAAATATTGTGAGTTTTTTCCACAGTTTCTCATTCTGATACACACATTTATTTTTCTTGTCAAAGAATTTTTGATAAATCTCCTTTTGTATTTCTTAGCTTTTCAAATTCTTCGGTGATTTTATTGCTGCCTTGCTGTTAAGTATAATTGTATCATTGGCATTTGAATCACCAATTATTGTACTTGAGAAAATTCTTTTCGGTTCAAAGAAAAAATCGAATTTAATGCCATTGAGCGAGAGACAGCAATCAACTGCACCACGAATTAGCCACACTCGTTAAATTACGGCGTAGAATAAATCAAGCAAAAATGAACCAGAAAAATATCATCATATTTCGTTAGATAGATTTCGTAACAAATAGAAATTGTAAATCAAAGAAAATAAAAAAAGTTCAAAATTTGAAAATGATAAAAATTGTTTGAAAATATAATAAATCATAGAAAGCAACGCCATCTATTGTGGATTGTAACGCTTTACTACTGCAATGTTCTATGGAATTTTGTTCGGTTGGCTTCTATAAATGAACTCATCAGCGGAATTTAATGATTCTGTAACTAAAATTCTCTAATGATTCAATTGAAAATATTTCAAATTGTAAATAATTTTGGCATGGACGCTGAGCTAATGGCATTTTCATTCAAATTCAACGCATTTTATTAAGCAGCGTCCACAGTATATCAAATACACGCGCAATTCGTATGCACAAAGTGTCTATAGCTGTATACCGGTTTCGACAATCGTGCACACAATTCTGACATATCCAAACCTATTGATATTTGGCATTCTAAACGCGGTATTTTGTTTTGTTGTTAATATTACAAATACGCTTACAATTTTTATGTGACAAAAGTAGAAAAAAAACGTAATAAATTCTATTGTTGGTTTCATTCAATTGTTCAAAATTACGCGAATAAGTTTTTAAATTAACAATTTTTGGGTGCTATTTATTTTTTTATGTAGGTGAGAATCGACGCAAAAACCGTGAATGCTGTGTTATTTGATTTTGTTAAATTAATACACACGAAGCTATTGTTAAATTGCATTCCTCTGTCGATCCAGCGCTAATATATTACTTTGTTTATGTTGTATTCAAGGTTTAAGACACAGTAAATATAAGTAGCCATCAAAATGGGAGATCAAGTGTTAGTGACAGAGATTCCAAGTAGCTTAAAGCAATTGGCCCGATTTGTGGTGCGAGGATTTTACACAATTGAAGATGCGCTCATAATTGATATGCTTGTTCGAAATCCATGTGAGTTATGCATATTGGCATTTTCTATACCATTGAATGTCCCAAAGAATTCAGAACATTGATGTCGACTATAAGAGACGAAATAAATGCACTTTCTAACCCTTATTCATATTTGCATTATTGTCATTTGTCAATTTTAGGTATGAAAGAAGATGATATTTGTGAATTATTGAATTTCGATCGTAAGCAATTGCGTGCTCGAATCACAGTTCTGAAAAATGACAAAATTCTTCAAGGACGACTGAAAATGGAAACGGGCCCAGATGGAAAAGCAGCAAAAGTTACCTATCATTTTATCAATTATAAAACGCTTGTGAATGTCGTTAAATACAAATTTGATTGGATGAATAAACGAATCAATACATCTGAACGTGATGCGACTAGTCGAGCTAGTTTCAAATGTATAAATTGTCAAAAAACATTTACCGATTTAGATGCCGCCGATCTATTCGATCCGATGGAAAACGAATTCCGATGTACATATTGCAGCAGTTTGGTGGAAGAAGATAAATCAGCGCTACCGCAAAAAGACTCACGATTCTTATTGGCCAAATTTAATGATCAAATGCAAATTTATTATGATTTATTAAAAGCAGTTGAAAATATAAAATTGTCACCAGAATGTTTGGAACCCGAACCGATTGACATCGAAACAATTCGTGGCACAAATAAAGCACTCAATCGCGGTGGAACCAACAATGGCGGTGAACAATGGTCGGGTGAAGCGACACGAAATCAAGGATTTGCCGTTGAAGAGACACGAGTCGATGTTACAATCGGTGATGCAAATCCAACGGAGGCGGTTAAAACAAAAGAACGACCAATTTGGATGACTGAAAGTACAATTGTATCGAATGAGAATACCAATGATACCTTGGATACGTCGTCACAACAAGCAGCACAACCGATCGCATCACGAAGCCGCAAAGAGAATGAAGATATTATGTCCGTGCTATTGCAGCATGAAAAACAACCGGGCAAAGCGAACACACAAGATGCGGCTGTTCGATCGTTGGCCACCTCAACCAACAACAGTGATTCAAGTGACGATGAACAAGAAATCGAAAACGCACAAATTCGTAAGTTGAAAAACTAGTTTTAAATCCAACGCATGTCGTTATTTTATGCATATTCTTAAGATGTGTAACCTTCTTCTTTTTTTTATCAAAAAATGATATTTCCTTTCAATTTTATTTCTAAGAATTTGTTTCATTAATTCAAGATTCTTTTTCGCTTCGTTTTACAGCTGATATTGATGTAATGGACACCGATTCCGATGGTGACGAGACAACGGTGCTTGTTGCTGGCAAACCCATGCCACTCGATGAGGTGATAGACAATGAGGAAATCATTGCTCAAATGACGCCACAAGAAAAAGATGCGTTTATCCAAGTATGGCAAGAAACATACAGCCACATGCATGATTAAACCTCATTAATTTATGTATTCATTGACTCGACGATACCACACATTGAAATTCTATCAATAAAAGAAACATTTAATGTATGAATTGTTGGTTTCATCAGAAGAATTCTATTTTAGTTGTAAAGAAAATGATTTAAATAAAAAACTAGAACGATTTGTAATATAAATAAATAAAACCGGAATCTAGACTGAATTTAGTTTTTCAACTTAATCATGTCGAAATATAAATAACAAAACAAATTTTTATTTATTTTCATATAAATTTTTTTGTGTATATGCGCGCGTGTTTATAGGAAGATTAAGATAAATGAGCAAATGAGCATTTTATGCATGTTGTGTCTCTAATTAAAAGATCAATAGACGTCTGATCGTCTGCATGCATATAAAAATACACTACCGAAAAATGGTGCTAATTAATTAAAATCGTCAACTTGGTGAACCAGATTTGTTTATGTAGGTTGTCACATTTAATTAAATTTTACTCCTGCTGAGTGTTGATGTCGCACAAAAATTAAATTAAATCGAAAATTTGGAGAACAAAAGAAATAAATGGTCTTTCCTTATAAAAATTCGTCGGTTTATCAATTTTATAGATTTTGTTTATCATAGTCATTCGTGTTTGCGATCGATTTATAAAAATCATCTGAAGGTAATCGGTAAATCATGAAGCGATATTGATATATGCATCGATCTTGACGCGACCATAAATATCACGTCCACAACACGGCAAACTTATTTTTATGGCAAAAGAAAGTGACAACAATATTTGTTTTTTTTATCTCTATCTTTACTTCACTAATGTGAAGGTTCTGACGTAAGGAGTCAAGTCTATCCCCAGAGTGTTGGCGCAAAAAGTTAATGGAACGATTATTTAAATTTATGCCAAAATATAATGTTCACATACATATGAAAACGCAACCTGCGAAATGTGTTGCACGTGTTGTAGATTGATACAGTTTTATTCAATTTGTTTCGTGTCCAAAAGAATGGCCAAAAATACATCCAAACTCGTTTACACACGTATTTATTCTATAATATTTTTTTTCACGTAATGTCTAAAGGCACTTTATTATTGAGACTTGATAAATTGCTATTTTTCTAAATTGGCTTATCAATTAACAAATGAACTTCGAATGCTATGGCCAAACGCACATTCAACACACTCATAAAAAAGGCAAAAAACACATTGAGCAAATTAGATCTCTACATCTTCTCTCTACACTCATTTGTCTACGCTTCGACGGCGGCTCCGTTTTTATGCTTCACACTTTATATTCAAATTTAGCGTTGCTGCCGAGATGAAAGAGAAAAGGAAGATTCGCTGTTGTATAAATACCACATGACATCCAAATTCAAGCATCATTGTCGATCTTCCACTTGATCCTGACTGACGGACTGACTGGCCGAGTCGCTGTTCGCCTTTTATAGTGTTTATTAGTTTTACTTTCAATTTTGTGAAGTGTTTTTCTATATTTTATATTAAAATTATAATGAAATTCGTAAGTGAACAAAAATTTCATTCAACACTTTTATTATTAATTACTAAGGTGTTACATATGTATTTTGCCATTTATTCATGGATCTTTTTTAAGTTTTACTTTATTAATGCCATTGAAAGTGAAATTGTTGATTATGGGTGTTTATAATCAAAGTATTTTCGGAAAGTTTTTTCAATTAATCATTATTAACACGCAAAGTTGCTAAAAATTAGCATTCAAATAAATTGTACAAGTCATTTTAGCTAACTTATCATTTAAATCGACAAAAGAAATAACCAACAAAAATTTACAATATAATGTTTTTAAAAAATCATTGCAATACCCTTTCAAACCAACTAAAAATCATACATAAAATTTTAAAAAATAATCACTATTTGAACTATAACTGACCTAAAATCTCTACTCTCTTAAAAAAATCGTTCAAATATTCGTAGAAGTATTTGTGAATTTTAAAATCTTAACGAAATAAAAATTCAGTTCAAATTACAGTTGATCGTTAATTTGTAGCTCATTAGAATAGAAATTGTTTTTTTAATATCAACATATTCAAATATTTGTTGTGTAATCTTGCCATGTTTTGCACCAAAGGTTAATGCATTTGATGAAGACTTTTATTGAAAGCTTTAGCCCACACGTGCTAAATAAAATCTAGAGTAAATATTTGCAATACCATTTTGACCATTTTTTTATCGCAGATTATCGTCACGCCATAAAGAATAAAGTTGCGTGTGTACGCTCGTTATCAAAAATGACAAGATTTATTATGGTTTTGAATTTGCATGAATTAAACATATGTTCGTATGTTCCGTGAATCGGATAGAAGATTATTTAAAAAGAATGGCCAAGAAAAGATCAAACACAGCCGAGAGAAATGTGCGAGAGTTGGAATATGGGATTGTTTTCTAGTTTTAACTCTTAGAAGTTAATTTAAATGTTTCCTCTATTTCATCTGAAGTGATTCTGAACGTCATCGTGATAAATTATTACTACAATGTGTCAAAGATATTCTGGTTTTTTAATCAGTTGCCCTGTTACATAATCTTCTTGTTCAAATGTGATTCATTCATTAAGACAATTGATCGTGACGATTGACATGAGTTCAAAATCAAGTGAATGTGCTTAGGTTTTTTCATAATTTTTGCGTCCATAATCTTTTAATTATGAAAAAATTGTTACCTATCCAGTTGAATGCCAAAATGATGCTGCAGTTATAATGATCGATGGAACCTTTGATCAAAGTCAATTCCTGAGCATTCATTTTCCTCCAAAAAATATTTCGACAAAAAGAGGAATCAACGAACGAACTTGACTAAGTAGAAAAACCTAAAGATATCATGTTTCAATTTTTTTTGGATGATTCAAAAAAATCGCACAAGAGATAAAAAACCAGAAAGTGAATTAATTAAAATTCAAGTATCAAAGTTGAAAATGAGCGAATCTTCTCAAAAAAAAGCAGAAGTGCCCATGCATTAGATGGTAACGCTTTACATTAATTGACAAAAAATGATAATTATGCATTTCTCCGACGCGATAAGACGACTACGATGGAGTAATGGAGTTTTTAATGAAAAATTCTCTCATTCGCTTTGAATATTTTATAAATTTTATGTACTATGCAAATGGATTTGAATTGACATGTTTAGTATTATTGCTCTGCTTATCGAAAAACATGAATGTAAAACATAAATTATAATAATCAATTATTATGAACTGAATGCCGGTGTACGATACGTAGAGACTGAATTTTAAATTGATGCTAAAGATTTTAAGTCGCTTTATTTTTATTCACTTAACGCTTTGGTTACGATTCAATCGTCACCTTCTTCACTTCGAATTTGACGAAATTTTAAGTTTAACATTTCCAAATTTTTTTATTGCCACAAAAAAATGCAAATGATACAAAATCACACACAGAAGATTAGCATAGTTTAGGTACCGGACACACACACACAAAATTAGAGTAAAATGCAACGTATTCCGTCTAAAAAATGTTTATAGCAGAATAAATTTTAAATTTAAATAAGCCGTTACGGAGGCGGATCGAATAACCAAAATTTTTATATTTCTGAAAAAGAGACAGGATGAACCTTGTCTTTTACTCGACACATCATTATCGATACTATAAACCTTTCCAATCATCAATTTATATCAATAAAGATTTTTTTTTACATATTCGATATTCCATGTAAACCGCCAACAAACTTGTTGACTTATTTATTCATTTTTTGATAGATAAGAGTTTTTTTTTCCAATAAAATTCAGTTCAGACACGATTTAAATGTCGAAAGACCAGGAAATCAGTTCCACAAATATAAATCATGCAATTAATTAATTATTTTTGTATTTTATTACGAAAATATTAGTAAAATCTTGGTTGTTTAAATTTTTTTAATAAAACTTTTCAGAATGTCTGCATTTTATCTGATTGCACAAAGTATTCTATTAACAAAAAGTTGTTTATTTATCACATTCGGTATGACTTTTGATCATGCCCGGCTCTCAATTATAGTGCAGTGGCGTGCTTTGAGAGCGATTAATTAATTTTAAGTCAGCAGTTTTGACAAACCCGTTGATTTTATTACAGTAGATACACAGTAAATTAAATGATTAAATTAGGCTCATTCGAAAATGGTCTTCAATTGATAAAATCTCATTCAACATACGTGTGGGTTGAATAAACACGAGAAGAATTTGTATCAGTTGATGTGAATTGGCATTTCGATGATTTAATAACGATCAAATTGAAATCTCATCGCATAAATCACGGCGTTTGAATTTCTTTGTAAAAATAATCAAAGTTTAAAAAAAATATACGAAATCAAGCAGACAAAGCGGCAACATAATTTTTTGAGGATTTTGGTGCTAAGCCGTTGATAAATGGCTAAAGAGAAATGCGCTACTTTATTCATTCCAATCTCCGTTGCTCTGCAGGCGATTAAGTTGGTTCGAATTGGTCGGTGTACAACTTTATACTGATATTTATTGATCACAAATTATTGACGAAGAATATGTCAAATCAAAAATAATATGCGGCAAAAAAGACACACGCACATACACACATAGATTCAACGCACTCACGAATATAATAAATAAAGAAATGGCGATAAGAATCGAGTTCCTTTTCAGCATTTCATCGGTGTTGTCTATTGTTTCCGATTGAACAGCATGTGAATTATGCAAATAAGCATCGAACATCACAAAATCAAGCGTTGCTTATGCAAATACATACACGATTGAAACAAATTTCTTTTACACCAAATCAAACTGGTTTGATAGATATGTTTGGCGAAACACTTGAATCGCTGGTCGTTGATTTATCTGGATGACCTTTAACAATTTTTTTTGGACCGATGGACGTACGTAAAAAATTATTTCTGAATATGTAACAGTTGTTTTGTGAATTTAAACGCATTTTAATGGCTTTTTTTCTATACACGGCCGGCAGAAAAACGAAAATATTTTATATTAGAAGTGAAATATCAATCCATATTAAATGGCTTTTTGAACAATATGAAAAAAGAATTATTTATTTAAATATAGATATCACAGCAATGAAACGACAACAACAATAACACATATTTTTACTGTCAAAATTTGGATGTCAAATGGTGTCGACATTGGTGACGGTATTTTGAAACAGACTGTGTAATCCATATTCATCGTATATGATCCTATGTAAAGTTCTATACTTGATCTAATTCACATTGACGGTTCAAATCGTTTATGTCCAATAGCGTGGACATGGACTGTGTGTTTCTTCTGTTACATGTACGTTGTAATGGACAAGTATAGTAACATTTCGTCGTTCAAATAAATTTAAAAATCCGTCCACTCGTGTCGACACCATCTAGCACGGTAGTAGGGATTTCATTGCTGTGATAGATATCGAATAAAATTAAATAATTTACATGCGTCTATTTTAAGCCAAAGCAGTGGTTCATCTCTCTATGCTTTTTGACTTGATCATATGAAAAACAGATACTCGAGCTATTTACTTAAAATAAAAAAAAACTCATTTGTTAGATATTTCGTATTGATAACAAATTGAATTAGCTGATTTTGAGTTCATTAAACATGTTTTCTTTGTTCCAACTGACACTCATTTTTATCAACTAACCTTTATTTTCTATCTCCTTAAATATAGTAATTTATTTGCAAATATTCATACATCAGAAATGTAATGTGTGAAAAAACATGGGTGATGATATATTTATCAATTTTTTCAGATCGTTCTGTTTGCTGCATTTATTGCCTTGGCTTCGGCTGCCAAAACAAAGAAGCCAATCGAAGAATACTTTTCTGATTTTGCAGGTGAACCCAATATTGATCTTATTATTAAGGATGATGATCGTCCGCCAACTCAGTTCGTTGGTGATGTCATGAAAGCAAAAACCACTAGCATTAATACTATTCAAGGAAAGGGAAAATTCAGCTACAAGTAAGTTTTGTCCGAATTTTTCATTGCGACTTGTTTTATATTGTTTTCGTTCAATTGCAGTTTCGAGACTGAAAATGGTATCAACATTGCTTCAATTGGAAAACTCAAAGATGAGAAGACCTTCGTCGTCACTGGATCATACACATATACTGGTGCCAATGGTAAACGTTATCGCGTTCGATACACTGCTGATGAATTTGGATATCATCCAGTCACTGAACTTGACGACCAACCAGAAGTAGTGTATGTTGACTTATCATTTTTGTGTTCCTTTTTCGTTGAATAATTTTTTTAAAAATATGTTTAAAACTCATTAGAATCGCTCCAGCCAAACCACTTCCACCAGCGCCAAAACTAACATTCACACCACTCTCATCATTCAATAATGGTAATAAAATCAAATGTAAAAAATATGTTCGTTTTGAATAAACTATAATTCGTATTTTGAATTGCAGGCAAAAATCTAAATAATGGAAACAATGGACAAAATGGAGCTAACAATCAATTCGGAAACTCTGGCAATGGACAAAATGGAGCTAATAATCAACAATCATTCGGAAATGGCCAAGGACTTGGGAATGGTGGTCTCAATTCGATCAATGGTTTCAATGCCGGCAATAGTTTTAATTCTTTGGGCCAAAATGGTAACAATAGAGTTGGCAAAGCAAATGATTTCACATCAGGAAACGGTCTGACATCAGGCAATGGATTGAACACTTTTGATGGATTTTCCAAATTCGATGTTAGATCCGGTAAAAGTTTAGAACAAAATAATATCCTATTCAATGATAACTTTGTCGGCGTTCAAGGGCCCAAAAATGTCGATACAAATCGTCTATATTTACCACCAAAGCCAACTTACTTGCCACCATCTAATTAAAAATAAGCCGCCATATATACTTTAAAATAAGTGCCACAAAATGTCTGAATTTTTTTTATAATTCATTTTTTTTTATTTTTCAATAAATACATCATAAAATTTAATTTCTTTTTCTTCAAGCAAGTCAATTGCATTACTCTTTGTAAGAATATTTTTCTTCTGATGTGTAGTAGTAACTACCTCTGCGATTTCAGCTAAGTTCTATTCATTGTCTTGGCTGTCGTTTAACTGGTGTTTCTATTTCGCTTTCATCTGATTTATCAATTATTTCCACTGGTTTTATTGTATGAACCTTGGAGTTTGTTTTCTTTGCCAACGGAAGTGGTTGAATGTTTATGAATGTTGGCGTTGGATTAATTCCATTAAACGGTGAATTTAATGATGGATTGTACCCGTTGTTCGGTGTGTTGAAACTTGGATTGGAATGTGCATATGGGTGCTCATTTGGAATGTTGAATGGTCCATTAAAATGAGCATTCGGCTGAGCATATTCAGGTACAAAGTCATTATTCAAAACAATGTATTGGAGTTCACCGTTAAAGTTTGGCACATTTGGCTTATATGTGTTCAAATAATTGAAATAAGCGGCTTGATTTTTTTGTGGAACTTGATTTGGTGCAAATGACGAATGCTTTTCTAGGCTGTTCAATGGATTTACGCCTGAATAATATTGTAAATTTGGTATATAAAACATTATATTTGTTTTCTTCTCAGACTCTTCAGTTGGATTTTTCGAACTGCTACCATGATTATGAGACGGTTTTTTCTTATCAAACAATTCTGGTTTTGATGCGGGTGAAAAGCCTGGAATGACTACTGGCGTTATTGCGGCGCCAACCAATGTTGTAAATGGCGAAAAGTTTGTATTAAATAAATTCTGAATAGAGGGATATTCATTTGAAGGTGTTGCAGCTAAAATTTTCTCATTGTCATTTTGATGATTATGTGGTGTTCTGACAATTTGTTCGTTGCTACGGAATGAACTTGATAAACGAGAGAATAAACGAGAGAATAAAGCCAGGATGGTATTTACGTCGCCAGAAAAAGTACCATCTGGATTTTGTATAACGAAGGCAGACGGATCGTTGTAAGTATATGTCTTAGTTCCGTTTGGATAAATAACTTTGAAGGCGTTTGTTTTGTATTCCTATAAACAAAAGTCATTGTATTCTAACGAAAATATTCAATTATTTTTTTGTATTTTATTACCGTAGTTACACCGTTAATTGTTTCATTAAAGATTGATTCCCCTTAAAAAAGAAAGTCGTACATTAATTAAAAATTTCACACTAAAATTGAAGTAAAATTTACCTGCAGCTTCGTCAAGTCTGTTTTCAATTGTAGGGGTTGCGGGTGTTTCAAGATTGATTCCACCAGTGGTTCCGCCAGTAGTCGTTCCGCCAGTAGTCGTTCCGCCAGTAGTCGTTCCACCAGTAGTCGTTCCACCAGTAGTCGTTCCTCCATTATTAATGCCGTTGTTAAACAATAACCAAGGATAAGTTGGATAATAACCAGCTGGATAATAGACACCTTGATAGTTGCCACCTGGATAGTATATTCCATTACCGCCCCAGTAATTGAATCCTCCCCCATTACCCCAGTAATTTCCACCCCATGGGTAATCTACAGATAACAGAAAAGAATTACATTATTCTCTTGTGCATTTCATACAATTGGTTTGAATACTCACCACCTGAAGTAGGATAAGGATAAGAATGAGGATAAGAATGAGGATAAGAATGAGGATAAGAATGAGGATAAGGATGAGGATATGATGGACGAGGGTATGGTTGATAAGGGCGACTCGGACGGTAATGTCCACCTAGTTAGATGAAATATTGAAATCAATTTAAAATGACGATAAAAATAGCATTCACAATATATCTTACCACAATTTCCACTGTTGCATACATTTCCACCTGAAAAAAATGAGATTTGTTTGATTTTCTATTATGTCAAATTTGTATTTCACTCATCATCATTCCGAAATATTCGAAATATTTGTTAAATTTTGAAAATACAAAAGGACCGAGTACGACGTTTCCTCCTTTGCTAAGCGAAATTAATCCGATATACGGCGCTGATGTAAATGTCACTCTATGTCATTCCACAATAATACATTTTTTGGCTTTACAATATATAAGCTCTTCATTCAACATGCATAATTATCGATCGGTCGAGAAAAAAAAAGAAACATATCATAAAATATTCTTCTTACGTTTTTCAAAAAAATTCTCTATATTTTAAATTTATTTGTTTAAAAATAACAATAATTTCATTTTTTTTTTCATAGATTGAACGAGAATCCAATGTAAAAAGTAATACCAATGCGACACCTACTGTAAAAATGCAAAAGGAAACTTATTTGGAATTGTAGCATTTTGGTCCGCCATGACAGCATCTTCGTTTTGCTTCTCTGTGATTGGTCAAGTATAACGAAGATGCTGTCACGGCGCACCAAAATGCTACAATGGAGACCATAACTAAGTTTCTTTTTGCATTTTTACGGTAGGTGTTGCATTGTTATTACTATTTACATTGCATTCTTATTTAATCGATGAAACATTTTTTTGAAATTATTGTAATTTATAAACAAATTAATTTTTTTATAAAAAAAATTTTTTATAAAATTTTTAATGAAATAAAAAGTCTTACGGGAGTAAGACGAACTTTTCCGCACTGTGGTAGTTGCATATTTTATTAAGAAAGTTCAAAATAATATTTGTTCGATTTTTCAAGCCTTTCAAGCGTCGTAAAGTTCGAAACCAAAAAATATGTTTCAACTTTGGCAACGAAATATTTTTTAATTTAATAGCAGAAGTACCCGAGAAAAGATTTTTCACACTTTCATGATGAACCCATTTGTACGACATTTGAAAGTATTCTATTTTCTAACAAAATACTATAAAAAATATGTCTGACGTTAATTTTGCCATAAAAATTATTTTTGAAACACTTTCCATAACTAAAGTCACAAAAAATTTGGATCTTTGTATGGGAGCCATGTCTGTATGCTATATTAATGGTGTGAAACTTTGCACAGGTTATTTTTTCACAAAAAAATAACATTCGTAGGGTTTGGAGAAATTTCAACCAAAATTAAGGGTACCTCCCATACAAAATATTCGTTTTTGAGCCAAAAATTTAAAATTTTGTATGGAAGGTACCCCTAACTTTGATCGAAATCTCTTCAAACTTTCAGAATGTTATTATTTTGTGTAAAAAATAGTCTGTGCAAAGTTTCACGTCATTAAAGTATCATACAGGCATTGCTCCCATACAAAAATTCAATTTTTTTGTGACTTTTACAAGGAAACTGTATTAAAAAATATGTCTGACGTTAATTTTGCCATAGAAATTATTTTTGAAACACTTTTCATAACTCACAAAAAAATAACATTCGGAAGGTTTGGAGAAATTTTAACCAAAATTAAGAGTACCTCCCATGCAAAATATTCGTTTTTGAGCCAAAAATTGAAAATTTTATATGGGAGGTACCCCTAATTTTGATTGAAATCTCTTCAAACTTTCAGAATGTTATTTTTTTGTGTAAAAAATAGACTGTGCAAAGTTTCACGTCATTAAGGTAGCATACAGGCATGGCTCCCATACAAAAATTCATTTTTTTTTGTGATTTTTTCAAGGAAACTGTTTTAAAAATTGATTGTATCTCAAAAATAACCTCAGATTCGGTTTTCTCGTGCCAAAAAACCCCCCAATACATATTTTTGAATGTTTAAGTCCACATTAAGTATGACTTTTGGACGAAAATTGGACTCTTTTTCATAGGTATCACTCCAGGCATGACATTTTTTCCCATCAACCAAAGTCGCTCAAAAGCTAATGATTTCTATTCCTCGGGACCCCCAATCATCCTGTAAAGTCAGATTTTGAATTAAGTTTCTACGATGAGCGCAATCTTGCTAACAAATTTTGCGTACGACGTACAACGTACGACGTACGACGTACGACGTACGACGTACGACGTACGACGTACAGATTAACATAAACCATGCTCAAAACGGCCTGATTCGGGTTCGCTGACCTCAGAAACGTCCAGAAAACATGTTTCTGAAGTTTTCAAAATTTTGACCGATTACAATACTTTTCACCTTACACTATGTGTGCGGAAAAGTAAAATGTTAGAAAAATATTTTATGACATGTTTTTTTCAACGATTCAATAATTATGCATGTGTATGCATTTTAAATGAAGAGCTTATATATTGTCAAGCCAAAAAATGTATTATTGTGAAATGACAGTGACATTTACATCAGCGCCGTATATTGAATTAATTTCGCTTGGCAAAGGGGGAAATATTTTGACAGATAGTACTCGATCCTTTCGAAAAATGAAGCGAAATTACCAAATAATGATTTAAATGCCAAAGACACAAAACAATATGACGTAAGTGGGAATTCTGTATATATAAAATATTTTTTCACCATTACCGTTGATAGGTATACCGTTGATTAGATTGTTGTTGTTATTATTATTATTGTTGTTGTTGTTATTGTTGTTGTTGTTGGCTTGATTATTACCGCCATGACCATGTCCGTGGCCATGCCCATGTCCCGATCCTCCACAATAATCATCTTCACAATCATTTCCATTACCTTCATTACCTTCTCCTCCATTACTTCCTCCTCCATTAAATCCTCCTCCATTACCTTCTCCTCCATTACTTCCTCCTCCAATAAATCCTCCTCCATTACCTTCTCCTCCATTACTTCCTCCTCCATTACCTCCTCCTCCATTACCTCCTCCGTCTAAAACAATGCCAGGTTAAAAAAATTGGACAAATCAATTCGATTGGAAAAATATTAAAACTCAGTCTTACTGGCGACAGCTTGATTATAATTATGTATAGAGATTCCATTTCCATGGGTTGTACACCCTTTTGGGCCACAAGTCGATCCACAGCCACCTAAAAACGTAAACAAATTCTTCTTTAACGGTTCTTGTCCCTTCGGTTATGTTCCGAATTTTCAAACCTGCACCACAGCTTACAGCACTCGACGAACATCCATGAGGTCCACACGGAGGCTTCATACCTTGAAAACGTCTGGCTGGCTCAGAGTTGTATGATGTGTCCATTTCAATATCAAATGCTTTGCTTTGACGAGATGAACACTCTGCCACAGGTACACATTTATCTCTTTGTCGCGCCAAACCATCTTTACAAAAGCATCCTTTGACGCATTCAGTTTTTTCGCACTCATCTTCGGAGAGTGCAATGCCAAACGATGATGCAGAGTATCGACAGCTCAACATACACTTTTTACCACATTCTAAATACTCTTCATTCTCATCACAAACAGTGGTTTCATTTGATTTTTTGAAAATTTCCAAAAATTTCTTCGCATCGATCAAAATGGTCGATTCAGTTTCCAAGTGCACTTCTTTGGCTTGAAAACCTAAAATACACAAAATAAATTGAACTTAATATCTCACTTCATATTGCGCAAATTGCGATTATTCACATTTACCTGACAATAAAAATATACACACGATTAATTCCAATGGCATATTTCTCACAAAATACATGATTTTTCTCTTTTTTTGCTTATACCAGCTTTATACAACCATTTGAGTTCAGCAAATTATGGTCAACTGAATGCGATATTTTTCGACGTTTTTCTTTTATATCACACCAAAAAATCAAACACCTTCCAACATTCTCTAACTGTTATATAATTATGTAATTTATGCAAAAAAAAAATGCAAACGATAATCCGACTTTATGCGTGGTGCTTTTGTGTTGCGAAAATTCGTTGAAAATGTAAACAGCAACACCCTTAATCTAACCATAAGGCTATTCAATTGAACACCTCTGCGCATTTACATTGAATCTGGTAACTGGTTTGCTTCAAAGTTTTGTTCTTTTCGGGTATTTCTTTTATTGAAAGATACCGATTCAAAAGAAAAACTACACAAAGGTAAATAAGAATTTCAATAGCCTTTTAAGATATCATATTGACAAATAATTTTGAAATTCAAATCACAGTTACACATTGTTTTCAATGGTGTGCATTTTATATTTTCTCTTCTTTAAGAATTTATTTACATAATTGGCGATTATTATCAAATTGGTGCTACCTTGTATTCGTTAAATATAAAAAATAAAACTCTTGTTCATTACTTGATGGTTTGCTGCAAAAATGAAAAAAAAGACTAGTTTGAAAAGATCCAGTATATCCATTTAGATGAGATCAATGACATTTTTATCGAAAGACTCAAGTTATATACCGATAGCTTTTTTACATCATTTTTTTATCTACAAAACTGAATGTATTCAAAACATACAGATGTTATACTCAAGTTCAAGTTCATGTATGAGATTAAAGATATCATCTTTGCTAATATATCTGCAACAAATGCATGTCCTTGTGAAAAAAAATAACGACAACTTCGAAACATAAGTTAGATAATTGATTAACAAAATTGGTATGTGTTTGGACTGAATTCACGTATATTGTAATGCATAAATATCTATGCACATATTAAAGATCGCATTACAATTGACTACAGCGCCGATAGAATGGTTTCAAATCAATCATTTTTGGGTTTTGAACAGACATTATATTGTTTTGTTTTCAAAATGATTTTTTGAGAATTATATGTGAGTGTTTGTAGCGTGGTTTGGACAATCAATTGATTTTATTGTCAATTCAATTTCAACGATTTTGTGTGTTTGGCACGCTGTTCGCTGTGGAATGGATAAATTCACAGTTGGTTTTGTGTTCATTTTTGTTTTAATTTCGAAATAACATAGTGTTGATAAAATTTACTATGAATATTCCAGCAATATTTCGATCGGCAAAATATTTGATGTCACATTGGAAATAAACATGATTTGATTTAGAATACAGAGTCACATTGTTGAGGTAAGACGTGATATTTATAATGCGTTCTTCATTACTGTTTTATTTGATCTGTGATGGAAGTGTTTTTATCTTATTGGATTTGTGATCTATGCTATATTTTGTGCATTTTTTTCTAAATTTGTGTCTATTCGGTGGTATACGATGACGAAAATAATTTCGTTGCAATAAAATGTGGCTTGCAAACAATACTTCGACCCAAGCATGCCGCAGTTGTGACGCAAATATTGTTAAAGGCCCAAAAATAACGATACAAATCGTCTATATTTACCACCAAAGCCAACTTACTTGCCACCATCTAATTAAAAATACGCTGCCATAATACTTTAAAATAAGTGCCACAAAATGTCTGAATTTTTTTTATAATTCATTTTTTTATTTTTCAATAAATACATCATAAAATTTAATTGCTTTTTCTTCAAGCAAGTCAATTGCATTACTCTTTGTAAGAATATTTTTCTTCTGATGTGTAGTAGTAACTACCTCTGCGATTTCAGCTAAACTCTATTCATAGTCTTGGCTGTCGTTTAACTGGTGTTTCTATTTCGCTTTCATCTGATTTATCAATTATTTCCACTGGTTTTATTGTATGAACCTCAGAGTTTGTTTTCTTTGCCAACGGAAGTGGTTGAATGTTCATGAATGTTGGCGTTGGATTAATTCCATTAAACGGTGAATTTAATGATGGATTGTACCCGTTGTGCGGTGTGTTGAAACTTGGATTGAAATGTGCATATGGGTGCTCATTTGGGATGTTGAATGGTCCATTAAAATGAGCATTCGGTTGAGCATATTCAGGTACAAAGTCATTATTCAAAACAATGTATTGGAGTTCACCGTTAAAGTTTGGCACATTTGGCTTATATGTGTTCAAATAATTGAAATAAGCGGCTTGATTTTTTTGTGGAACTTGATTTGGTGCAAATGACGAATGCTTTTCTAGGCTGTTCAATGGATTTACGCCTGAATAATATTGTAAATTTGGTATATAAAACATTATATTTGTTTTCTTCTCAGACTCTTCGGTTAGTTTTTTCGAACTGCTACCGTGATTATGCGACGGTTTTTTCTTATCAAACAATTCTGGTTTTGATGCAGGTGAAAAGCCAGGAATGACTACTGGTGTTATTGCGGCGCCAACCAATGTTGTAAATGGCGAAAAGTTTGTATTAAATAAATTTTGAATAGAGGGATATTCATTTGAAGGTTTTGCAGCTGAAATTTCATCATCGTCATTTTGATTATTATGTGGTGTTCCGAAGCTTTGTTCGTGACTACGGAATGAACTTGATAAACGAGAGAATAAACCCAGGATGGTATTTACGTCGCCAGAAAAAGTACCATCTGGATTTTGTATAACGAAGGCAGACGGATCGTTGTAGGTATATGTCCTAGTTCCATTTGGATAAAGAGATTCGAAGCCGTTTGTGCTGTAATTCTGTAAACAAAAACTCATTGTATTCTAATGAAATTATTCAATTATTTTTTTATGTATACCGTAACTACACCGTTAATTGTATCCTGGAAGATAAAATTCCCTTTAAAAAAGAAAGTCGTACATTAATTAAAAACTTCACACTTTTAAATTGAAGTAAAATTTACCCAAAGCGTCGTTAAGTCTTCTTGTAATTGTAGAGGTTGTGGTTGTGGTGGTGGTTGTTCCTCCATTATTAATGCCGGTGTTGTATAATAACCAAGGATAAGTTGGATAATAACCAGCTGGATAATAGATACCTTGATAGTAGCCACCTGGATAGTATATTCCATTTCCGCCCCAGTAATTGAATCCTCCCCCATTACCCCAGTAATTTCCACCCCATGGGTAACCTACAGATAACAGAAAAGAATTACATTATTCTCTTGTGCATTTTATACAATTGGTTTGAATACTCACCACCCGAAGTAGGATAAAAAGGGTATGGCGGATAAGGGCGACTAGGACGATAATGTCCACCTAGTTAAATGAAATGTTAAAATCAATTTAAAATGACAATAAAAATAGCATTCACAATATATCTTACCACAATTTCCACTGTTGCATACATTTCCACCTGAAAAAAATTGCGATTTGTTTGAAATGATTTTCTACTATGTCAAATTTGTATTTCACTCATCATCATTCGGAAATATTTGTTAAATTTTGAAAATGCACAATTTCGTAAAATGAAGCGAAATTACCAAATAATGATTTAAATGCCAAAGACACGAAACAATATGACGTAAGAATTCTGTATATATAAAGTATTTTTTCACCATTACCGTTGATTAGATTGTTATTATTATTATTATTGTTGTTGTTGTTATTATTATTATTGTTGGCTTGATTATTACTGCCATGACCATATCCATGTCCCGAACTCGATCCTCCACAATAACCATCTTCACAATCATTTCCATTACCTCCATTACCTCCCCCATCTAAAACAATGCCAAATGACAGGTTAAAAAAATTGGACAAATCAATTCGATTGGAAAAATATTATAAACTCAGTCTTACTGGCGACAGCTTGATTGTAATTATGTATAGAGAGTCCATTTCCATGGGTTGTACACCCTTTTGGGCCACAAGTCGATCCACAGCCACCTAAAAACGTAAACAAATTCTTCTTTAACGGTATATTCCTCATTGTTTTGTTTCGAATTTTCAAACCTGCACCACAGCTTACAGAACTCGACGAACATCCATGAGGTCCACATGATGGTTTGATACCTTGAAAACGTCTGGGTGGCTCAGAATTATATGATGTGTCCATTTCAATATCAAATGCTTTGCTTTGACGAGATGAACACTCTGCCACAGGTACACATTTATCTCTTTGTCGCACCAAACCATCTTTACAAAAGCATCCTTTGACGCATTCATTTTTTTCACACTCATCTTCGGAGAGTGCAATGCCAAACGATGATGCAGAGTATCGACAGCTCAACATACACTTTTTACCACATTCTAAATACTCTTCATTCTCACCACAAACATTGGTTTCATTTGATTTTTTGAAAATTTCCAAAAATTTCTTCGCATCGATCAAAATGGTCGATTCAGTTTCCAAGTGCACTTCTTTGGCTTGAAAACCTAAAGAACACAAAATAAATTGAACTTAACATCTCACTTCATATTGCGCAAATTGCGATTATTCACATTTACCTGACAATAAAAATATACACACGATTAATGCCAATGGCATATTTCTCACAAAATACATGATTTTTCTCTTTTTTTCGTCCGATAGCACTTCATCAACTGAGTACGTTGCTATCTGAAATTTGGTTTTTATACCACGACCAAATCGAATTCGGCCTAAATGCCATACATCTTTTCGATGATATTGTGAAGATTATTATGAATTTTTCTTCAATAAAATACATAGTTTATTAGTCTATTTCGTAGGCCTAAAAATGTAAACGTTGTGGTAGCTACTTCGTTGCTATTGTGTTTGTAGAAAAGTTGTTGAAAATCAAGAGACCGTTAGTCAAATACAAATTATGGCCAATCAATCGAATAAATGCCTCCGTTTGTTCTGTGAAGATTTCATTCTAAAGATTTTAAGTGACAAATATAGGCTTAAATGTGTTTCAGTTTATTACAAAGTTGCGTTATTTATAAACCTACAAAAATTATATGATTGAACACTAATTCAAGCATTGATCTATTTGGGATCCGATCTACTGCGGTAGACGTGGGATTTTATAAACTATATGGAGAACAAAAAATGTATTGAATTTGTACATTTTATTGGAATAGCGATTTTTTGAAATTTGAAATTGGCCAGAATTTGACTACCCATCCAAAATCAAACACCTCCCAACTTTCTCTAACTGTTATCCAACTCGTTAGCGATACGCACAAAAAAACAGAATAAAAGAATGAAAAAATCAAACAATTCAATAAATAATAATAATAATAATAATCAAGAATGAAAATGCAAACGATCATCCGACCTTATGCGTGGTGCTTTTGTGTTGCGAAAATTCGTTGAATACGTAAACAGTTACACCGTTAAGCTAATCATAAGGTTATTCAATTGAACACCTCTGCGCATTTACATTGAATCTGGTTTGCTTCAAAGTTTTATTCTTTTCGGGTATTTTTTTATTGAAAGATACCGATTCAAAAGAAAAACTACACAAAAGTCAATCATTCAATAGCTATTTAAAACTAACGACTACTATCTCATATTTTGTCGATTATTTATTTCATTTCTTTCATAACAGAAACATGACCGAATATACTGGAATTTAACTTTTTTTTTTCATTGGAAATAAATCCTTTATAATCAGATATCATATTGACAAATAATTTTGAAATTCAGTTCACAGTTACACATTGTTTTCAAAAGTGTGCATTTTATATTTTCTCTTCTTTAAGAATTTATTTACATAATTGGCGATTATTATCAAATGGGTGCTACCTTGTATTCGTTAAATATAAAAAATAAAACTCTTGTTCATTACTTGATGGTTTGTTGCAAAAATGAAAAAAAAAAAGTCTAGTTTGAAAAGATCTAATATATCCATTTAGATGAGATCAATGACCTTTTTATCGAAAGACTCAAGTTATATACCGATAGCTTTTTTACATCATTTTTTTATCTACAAAATTGAATGTATTCAAAACATACAGATGTTATACTCAAGTTCAAGTTCATGTATGAGATTAAAGATATCATCTTTGCTAATATATCTGCAACAAATGCGACATGCTTGTGACAAAAAATAACGAAAACTTCGAAAAATAAGTTAGATAATTGATTAAAAAAATTGGTACGTGTTTGGACTGAATTCACGTACATTGTAATGCATAAATATCTACGCACATATTAAAGATCGCATTGCAATTGACTACAGTGCCGATAAAAAGTTTGGGGCCACCGTCTTTTGAGATTAAAAATGATATTTTATATTCTCAGAAATCAATAATTTTTGGAATGTTGTTTTAATATCTTATGAAGAGTAAAATGGTAAATATTTAGCAAAAAACAGGGGTTTGAACAGAAACTATTATTGAGATAATTTCATGCAGATAGAAACAATTATGGAATTGACACCAAAAAATTAAAAGTTAATTCTACAAATAAGTGTTAAACGTAATCATTTTGATATAATCATTTTATTGAATTTTATATTGAAAATACAAAAATTAGAACCATTTTTAATTATTTGCGTGTAAATAAATAATGTTGAATAATACATAATATAATTTTTTAATTTTAATCATAAATCAAATTAAGTTTCTTTTTTCATTGGTTTTTCCGTGGAAACCTCTTCTTGTCTTTCAACAGATCCACTCTTGGATGATGGTGAGTTGGTATAGACATTTGTTGGGTTTGCTTGAAACAATTGCGGCAATTGATTTGCGTTGAATGGAAGCAATTGATTGTAGCCGATATACGGTGCGTTTGGATTTACAAACGAGTTTTGTCCGCTATTTGGAATTGGTGGACCAAAATAATTTTGACTATTTAGTGGACTATTACTTGGACTAAATTGGTTATATTGGGTATTTGGTTGTTGATTTTGCAAAAAGTATCCGTTAAATTGATTATTGTATGCAGCTTCAGCATTGAAATTTGGTTGATTTTGATAGTTCTGATAGTTTTGATAATTTTGATAATTTTGATTTGGTAGACCATTCAAATAAATGGGATAATTTGCGGGTGTATTGAATGGAAATTGTTTTGAATTCAAAGGTAAATCATTTCCCAAAAGAATGTCGTTGCTGAGTTGCTGACTCGATGCCGTCGGTGAAATTGTAATTCGGGTTAAACTCACTGATCTGTCAGAATCTTTTGGTGTTTTTTTCAAATTTGATGATTTTTTCTTATTTGGTTTTTTAGTTTCCATGCTGGGTGGATAATAACCGACTGGTACAATTAAGGTTGTGAATGGAATATCATTGGAACTAACAATTTTGTCATATTGATTATTGGGCGTCAAAAATGTGCTTGGATTCATTTGGTGGTTTTCTGGAGATTTAACAGGAACCGATTGTGATCTCACTTTCTTTTTCAAATCATTATTTTCTGTGACCGGATCGTAGTTTTGATCAATACCGAGACTCGATTCATCGTAAGAATTAATGAAGTTAATAGGGAGATTAATACTACGCCTTCGTGTCAAGTCGATAGAGGAGCCTGTAAATATTACATATAAGTTATTTGTTAGTGTCCCTAATACGTGTTGTGCGATTCAGGTATATTTCAAAAACTAAATATTATACCATTAGGGAAAATCAAATTTTCATTTCTTGTGTCAAGCTATAAAAATAAATAAAATAGGGATGAAAAAGAAAATGAAAAATAGGTTACACCATTGTCGAGTATTGCTTAACAATCAATATATTACCCTGTATGGAAGCCCATTAATATAGAATATAGCTAAAAATGTAACATATTATATTTATTTTCAATTCTTGTAAAAAAATCATCAATTTTTCTATGAATACTTACAAACACCATTACTATCTACCATTCCATTGGGAGGTCCATATCGTGAATTTAAAAAAGCTAAAAAATCTAAATAAGCTTGACTACCTCCGGGATAGCCTCCAGGAAAACCGGGAAAGACTCCAGGAAAACTGGGATAGCCTCCCGGATAGCCTCCTGGATAGCCTCCTGGATGGCCTCCGGGATAGCCTCCTGGATGGCCTCCGGGATAGCCTCCGGGATAGCCTCCGGGATGACCTCCGGGATGACCTCCGGGATGACCTCCGGGATGACCTCCTGGATGATGACCAACTGGACCATTTTCAACTTAAAAGCATGAAATTTAATTATTATTACTATTCAATATTTCGCAACGAAAATAATAGGATAAAATGAGATAATTTTGGTATTGAATACAATGTGCTTACTCAGCATAGCTTAAAACATTTGAATTGATTACCCGGATAATAGTGATGAGTATGATGATTTTCTCCTGAGCCACAATTTGAGCCGCAATTTGAGCCACCTCCTGGAGAAATCAAGTTAATTACTGGAACAATATTGTTATTATTGTTATTATTATTATTATTGTTGTTGTCATCGCTCTTGCTGTTGCTTGATGTTCCTCCGCCTGAAAATTGTTTAATTTGACAAAAAAAATAATGAAATACTTTCGCAATGATTGAAATTAAAATTGTATAGCACAAACCACTATTTGCTACATAACTACTGTGACCTTCATAGCTACTGTGACCTTCATGGCTACTGTGACCTTCATGGCTACTGTGACCTCCATGGCTACTGTGACCTCCATAGCTACTGGGATCTTCATAGCTACTGTGACCTCCATAGCTACTGTGACCTCCATAGCTACTGTGACCTTCATGGCTGCTATGTCCACAATTGCCATGCACACAATCTTCATTTGAATCTTCATCACCTTAAAATTATCGAAATAATTCCAACAGTTTTAACTGATTAGTTACATTAACTTGAAACAGAAATAATTTGAATTATGGATTTTTACGATTAGAATTTGCATATACCGGCAATAGCTTCATTGTAATTATGAATGTGAATGTTTTGAGGAGGATGAGGATGAGGAGAAGGAGGAGGAGCGCATCCACCGGATGCACATGGTCGGAATAATCCAAAAAGTTTTAATCCTTGATTGAACTGTGGAAATTCATGAACTTCCAAAGCTTTGCTTTGACGAGATGAACACTCTGCCACAGGTACACATTTATCTCTTTGTCGCACCAAACCATCTTTACAAAAGCATCCTTTGACACATTCATTTTTTTTGCACTCATCTTCGGAGAGTGCAATGCCAAGCGATGATGAAGAGTATCGACAGCTCAACATACACTTTTTACCACATTCTAAATACTCTTCATTCTCAGCACAATCAGTTTGATTTGATTTTTTGAACATTTCCAAATATTTCTTCGCATCGATCGAAATGGTGGTCTCAATCTCGAAATGCACTTGTTTGGCCTGAAAACCTGAAGAACACGAATTAAATTGAAACTTAACATCTCACTTTATATTACGCAAATTATGATTATTCACATTTACCTGACACAAAAAATGTGCACAAAACAATAATTACCGGCAAATTTGCCATTTTTCTCAAAAGATACATGATTTTATTAAAATACAAACCAGTTTGGGTCTGCAAAGCTATGTCAACTGAATGCGACATCTCTTGCGATTTCCTTTTATACTTTGCAGAAATCAGACATCACTGAACTTTCTCTAACTGTTCGTTACACGCATCAATGGATTAGAATCCGTTTTGTGATATTTAATACAATAACATAAAAATCCAAACGATTATTCCATTTTATGTGCAGTTTCTCAGCTTTTGTTTTGCAAAAATATGTTAAAACAGAATTGGCAATATGACTCAAAGAATTGATAGAGACGGTATGAGAGAAACGGAATGAGAGAGACGGAATGAGAATGAATAGAGAATTGAATTGGACCAATTTACGGATTCATGTCAAGACTAATTTCCGATAAAGTTTTATTTTATTCAAATGCTATCATAAAGTTATCTAATTGTTGTTTGAAACTCGTTAATTTTGTTCAATTTTTGATACATTCTGTTTTGGTGAGATTCATACAAAAATGAGATTTTTTTATTTAAAAACGGTTACGAATTTCTTTGTGTAGCGATATTCACACAGTCGATATGGAAGAACAATATGTCATTAATAGCAACGGTATTTGTACATTTTATTTCATACATTTAATTCTGATTAATAGAACGCATACCTGTTGTACGTACAGAACGATTTCAATTATAGGCTCACTTTTTTTGAAAACAGTTAAAAAAATCATTAAAATGTAGTCTATCTTTTTATTTCAATCATAAAATAAGAGATATATTGATGATTCAAATAAATAAATTTTTGTGTAGAATAAATAATGCTAATGACTCTTCCGATATCATTTTTTTTTAAGTTTCAACTGTTTTAAATTTTATGTCTTAAAACTCATCATTTGAAATGAAACTTCTTAAAAAAGTAAAACTTCTCGCGATCAACTTTACACGTATATAATTTATTGCTGTGTTGATTCTGTTTGATCATCTTCTTGGACGGAAGCCAAACGAGTTAACGTAGTTATGGTTCCTGTAAATCGATAAAATAATAAGAACCCAGGTTTAACTAATAAGACTGCTGCATAATTTTACCATTTGTGTTAATTCTGTATGAGCCGATTCCACGAATAGACACAGTTTGAGTACCATCTAAATTATAACGTATGCTTCCCCACAAGTACGAGTACTGCGAACGAAAAAGATTTGTTACAAAATTTATCAACTTATTAAAATCATTATCATTTTCTGTACCGTAGTGCTACCATCTGTATTGCGAACTCCATTATCTAAAACAATGATTTGGACTGGTTAGCTATGTATATATGAACATTTCAAATCTCTTACCTAAACTAACTCCGGTTCCTACATTGGTTTGGATAGTTTGAACTGGATATGAAACTCTTCCAAGCCAAATAGGGTATCCTCCCCAGCCTCCTGTACCAAAACCCGCACCGTATCCACCATATGATGGCCAGCCACCACCACCAAATCCTGGTCCCCCATATTGCCACCATGGTGGTCGGTCTAAAAATTTAAATATATTTCAAAGAAAATATCATTAAAATTATGTTTAAAATTTCATTTCACATTTTTTTATTTTCAATTACCATTGTCATAATGGTGGTGGTCATGATGATGATCATTGTTTCCTGTAAATATAGAAAAAATCGTATAGACAGGTTTCAGGACATACTGATATGAAAAGTTTTATCTTACCGCAGTTTGATCCGCAGCCATTTCCTAAGCCTGAAAAACACATATTTGTTGAAGTCAGAAATATTAGGAAAATGCAAACTATATGAATAAAAGATTACTCACCAAGAAAACTGCTTAGTATGGCAGCGTTGTTGTTATTGTTATTATTATTATTGTTGTTGTCGTCATTATTATTATTTGCTGCTCCTCTTGCCTCTAAAAATAATATCACAGTCGCATTATTTTATTGAAAAGAGAACTTGGTTTTTGCACACAAACCTTCACCATTATATTCGTAATAATCACCATAATGTACGCGTTTAGCTTTAAAATAAAAGAAAATTCAAATTTTCACATTTTAAATCTTGCTCAGTTTAACACAAGTTATAATTATTCACATTTACCTGACACTAAACATGTACACAACATTAATAACGCAAATGGTAGGCACGACATATTTTTCATCGTTAAACTTAATTTCTTAACATAAACCATTGGAATCTATCAGTTCAACATGAATTCGTCAACTAAATTTTGGGCTCAAGTTTTTCTTTTATATCTTGCTAAAATTGAACTCCACCCAAATTTCTCTAACTGTTCATCTACGCATATGGTTGGCGCGTGTCGATACGCACAAATGTATTCTAATCCATTTTGTGAAAGAGTATAATAAATAATAACATTATGCCTAAAAATGAAAGCGATTATCCATTATAGGCCTAGCTTCTTCGCTTTTGTTTCCCTTTTTATAAAAAATATGAGTTAAAATGGGCAACAAAAAGAACATTTGGAAATAATATTAGCAAATAAATCGATGATTTGTTCAAGTCTATTTTAAATATCAATAACATTTTCTACAATATGCTAATGCAACAAATTATCATTGGTCTCGGCTTTTTCATATTCTCTTTGCCATATTATGTGCTTGTAGGCCTAGACAATTAGAAATCATTCCTTTCAAAGTATTCTTATATAATTTGCATTCAAGAAAAATGTGTGAAGCATAACTTGGTACATGATTGGATCTTCTTTTCCCTTTCTTCAAATTTTTTTCTGGTAGATATAGAACGATGCTATTTATCAATTACATACAAAATGGTTTGATACCGATAAATGTCAAAATTCAAGTTTTACCGTATCAAGACGGATATTCAGATTCGAGATCAATCTCATTGATATTTTTCCATATAATTATAATGCAAGCGTGCCATTTTCATCTTGAATCCAACGGATAAAATGACTCGGTTAGAATATTCGTGAGCTCAAAAAATTTATCAAAAGAGCAACATGTTGATATAAAAAATGTATGGGCAAGTTCCAGTTTTATTTTGACAAATTTCTTGAGGTCACGAATATTCTAGCCGGTTCAAATAGTCTTCGGGTGTCATCATTTAGTTGAATAAAAGTAAAAAAAAGTCTTTTATGAAGAAAAGAAAATCTAAATGATTGACTTCCACTTGTATGATAATGATAGATACGCAATTTTAGATGATTCGAAAAATGGCTATGTATTTGTAAAGTGATCATAAAAGAAGTATCGTTTCCATTCCAATAATGGAAAATGTATCGGATAACGGCTGCTTATCGCCGTTACTCATAGCTGTTTTCTCACAAACTTGATAGCTTTTAAATAATAAATAGACCACAATCAGCAGACAACATGATACAATAATAAAGATCGACAAAGACATTAGAGTAGAATGATTTATTTATTATTATTCTTTATTAAAGCTATACAAAAAAAAAAATACTACACAAATTTTGATTGTATTTTGTATTGCGTTATATGCATGTTATAGAAACACTGAATTTCGTTTTTGGTTTTAGTGTTAATTTTTGTAATTCTTTATTCTAAATTTTGGTTGTATTGTCCTCATTCCCCTGAGTCCTTATGGCATGTTTTTAATAGTTCTATAGTGAAAGGTGTCTATTGAACTGACGTGATGGATTGTAACCATTAAGTGCTGGATTTTGATGCATGAATCCGTTTTGTGCGTTGGTTGGCATATTGTAATTGGGGTTGCCTTGATTCGACATTGAAAAATCATTTGGAGCATTGAATGGGCTGCTGTATGGATTGAATTGATTATATTGGGCATTTGGCCTTGTATATTGAGGATTCCAGTCATTATATTGGTTGTTATACGGCGATGGACCGACGCTCATATGTGGCTGATTTTGGTAATTCTGATAGTTTTGGAAATTTGGATAGTTTTGACTTTGGAATTGACTATTTAAATAATTCATATAATCTGATGATGGATTGTATGAAGTTGGCTTCGATGGATATGTTGAACTTGAAACTGAAGGTTGATCTTTTTTGATTGGGGTTCCATTGATAGTTACACTGTATTGTGAAGTTGGTTGATTTGAAGTCGGCTTTTTCTTGGATGGTTTCTTCTTTGATGGTTTATTGGGCTTTGAAGTATTTCCACTCGAAGATGGTGGTGTATAGAAACTAACAGGAATAATCACAAATGGAGTAGCTCCATTCGAACTCATGATACCTGGATATTGATCTGTTGTAGGTTGATTTTCATGTGGCATCATATTTGTGCTTTGAATGGCATTTTCTTCAGACATTTGGTTCTGTGGTTTATTGACAGGGATTGAATGATTTTCAGTTTGTTGCATTGGCTGTGAATATGGATTTGTTGCGGGCTTTTTATCATCAGGATGCATGCTTGCGTTCTGAACGACATCCTCTTTCATCATTTGGCTTTGTAGTTTATCGGCATTAGTTGGTGGATTTTCGGTTTG